CTTTCCTCATACTTTCTATTATTATTTCTTGCAGTTTTTTCCCCATGCAAGTTTTATCTGCATCTTTTTCTGAGAGCAGCTGCTTTCTTTTGTTCCCTTTCTTCACGCAGTTCTGCCTTTCTTTGTCTTTTCACTACATTTTTGGAAGTTATCAGCTGTTCTTGTAACCAATTAAATTTGAATTCAAAGCTGGTTATGCATTAAACCATCCCTCAGCAGACTGTGGCTTTTTTGGAGAGTAGCTGTTGAGTATCTTGCTTACCTTAACCCTGAGACTGGCTCAGTTTGTTAGAGCATGGAGCTAAAAATGCCAAAGTTGTGGGTTTGATCCCTGTACAGGCCAAGAGTTGGACTTGATGATCCTTGTGGGTCCCTCCCAGCCCAGAATATTCTGTTCTGTGAATTCCAAGGCAGTGCTGTAGGAGCTTACTTCCATATTTTGATAAGAACTTCCCAGAGAAACTTTGTATTCTCATGACTTTAGAAAAAGTCACAACCAAGATGGTCTGGGTTTTTAGCTTATTTCATACATTTTTTTTCAAGTTTATTGACTTGTCATTCAACTTCAACCTGAAAGGTCAGCAGACTGCTTTGTTCCTGCTCTTTGTATTGGCTTGAGCACTCTTAGGTCACATCCACTGAAACAGCTTATGTTTATATCCAACAAACTTGCATCCATTCCTTAAAAACCTGGAGCAAATGCTTAATTCAAGTGGGCTGCAGCTTTAGTGACACATTTATCTACATAACTGCATAGACAGATTTCACTCACACCTCTTTTAATTTAAGATATGAAGCTTACAGATAGAATGACATCAACGTAATTACACAAGAGGAAAGCACAAATATGGTTCTTGTTACCTTTCTTTGTCTTGTAGGGTCCTCCACTGGGGTGGATGTCCTGCAGTGGCACAGATATGACCTTGGCCAGGCCAGCATTCATCATGTACTGATACAGACGTTTGAAAGTCCTCTCACAAAGGCCCTGGTGCAAAGAGAAATGGCAAAAGTCACTGTAGCCCAAAAGCCTCACCTGCTGCTGATCAAAGCATCAAAGACATTCCTACTACCTGTTCTTAAAACACAGTGTTCTGGGGGAGGATATCCAAAAAGGAACTTAAAAGCCTGTTAGTGTAGACACTGGGCAGAACATGAGATGTTTCTGAAGGGTGTTGTATTCCTCCAACTCTGTCATCCAAACAAACAGCTTGTTTGTTTTCTTACTTGGACAAGTAAGAAATGCAGGATGATATTCATTGACAAAACATTTCTGAAGCTGTGGATGGAACAGAACTCCTTCCCTATGACAAACACCAACAGTAACTTGATCCAGTAGGTTTTTAAGATCCTTCTTTTGATATCCTCCCCCAGAACTTTGTGCAATTTTAAAAAGCAGGCAGCAAGAATGAGTGCCTTTGATACTAATTATCTAGATTCTACTGAGTGAGAATTTGAAAGAGGAATGAATCTCACCAATTCTTCCCTCAAGTTTCCTAATGTTTCCATCTGGTTTGAACGAGCACTTAGCATACTTGAGAGCTTCTCCATTAGAATATCATATTTGCTCCTCCTAACCAAGAAAAGAAAATTATTTTACATGTAAGTATGCACATAACTTCATAAAAATGAGTTGTAGCTTTACAAAATGTCAGTCACTAGAGAAAGTATGCTAAGTGTTCTCAGATTGGTTTAGGAATTAGTTTTCTTTCCTTCTGTGAATAGCACATGAGAGAATTTGTCACTGAGAAGAGATCTCAGCCAAGGGAACAGTGAGTAAGCCCAAGCTGTTACTTCACTGGCAATCCACAGAAGCACAAGTTCTAATTATAAACAAGATAAGAAAACAAAACAAAAAAATCTATTAGAAACCTGTTGGAATTGAAAACACTCAAAATTAACAAAATGATCAGTGCTACAATAAGAAAAGTTAGGTTTATGTAGGCAGGTGGCAGGCACTGGAATATTCTACTGAACTGTCTGGCATTCGGAAGAGGAGTTAAAGGAATTGAAGAGAGTCAATACCAGGAAACTTTGATGGTTCTGTGACAACACAGCAATCTCTCATCATAGTAAAAGGTCACAGTCTGCCCAGCAGACCTTTAAAACATACCTGTCAGCATGAAAGCGAGTCAGAAGCAGAAGAATTGAGTGCTGCTGTGCTCCACTCGGCAGTCGTATGACGTGGGATTGCATTGTTATGAGACCATTTCTGTCCAATACTCTTCGGTGATAATGAAGTTTTCCAGCATCCACTCTAAAGAAAAGATGGCAAGATAAAGATGGCAAGATATAGGCATAGAAACTTCTGCAAATAATTTTAATTATCCAGTACCCCAGAACACTTTACCTAAATTCCTATGGTCTTAGCAATATATGCTAATTTTCAAAGTGACAAACTCAAAATTAAGAAGTGCCAAAACTAAGAAAACCTGTGAAATTTATTTTCATAGTTAATCCAATAAGCAGAGAGAAATACCTCTGATTTTAACCTAGAGTCTAGGCACAGAGTGTCATGACATGGTTTGATGAGAGAGTTGAATGTGTATTGTATCCCCATGCCCCCTTTCTCCATCCTGTCTTTTTACCTCCTGGCTACACCACAATCACTGCCCTCGTTGTAATAACTCTGATATTCATCTCACTCCTTGTTGAGCTGACCTGGGCCACCAAACTGGCAGAAAATCATCCACAAAAGATTAACCCTCTACCTCCATCATACAAATTACATAAAAGAGTTTCCTAAGTGGTACAGAACAATGCCAGGTGGTTTGCAAGCTACAACCCATTTAGGTCCTAAAAGCAGGGAATCTTTACAGCAATGCTAATATTCTGCAGAACTTCAGAAGTTCTCTAAGAGGCTGTGTAACACTCCTTCATCAACAAAATACATGGCCTAGTTTGGAGGCTGGTAACTCAGGCTCCCACTCATTTGGACAAAGATGTCACACAAGGAAATGCTGGGGACAAAATATAGGCATCCAAGAATCTCTCCAGGACTTGGGCAGGATAAGATGATTTCTCAGCAGTTTAGCAAAGGAAATGAAAATCATTGTTCCATCCCAAATTTGAAGAAAAAGTTATTCAGAGAAAGCAAGAACTTCCACAAATAAGAAACTTGTGTATTGACCTAACAGACAATTCCTGGAAGCACAATGAACTCAAGGGTGAGACCAGCATAGTTCCAGCAATATGGGCTCCAAGAACCAAGTACTCCTGGTAGTAAGGATGAAACACTACCAGTACACATAGGAGTTCAAATCAATACACAGGAATAGTCAAAAATAACCAGTGGCAACTTGTTAGCTTCGACTTAATTCATGGACAAAAATGCAAACTTACTTGAAAGCCCCACTGTGAAGGTCCCTCTGGAGCTCCCCCTGCCACCGAGCACGGCCCAAACGCTCCAGGATGCAGTAGGAGAAGTCAGGGAGTTTTAAGTCGGGGTCCCCCTCCCAGCCTATTAAAGCTCTGTAACGCTGGTCTTGGGAAGCAACAATGACTAGTTTCTCTCCCCATCTGAGAAACAGAAGGAAGAGTAATATATTGTTACTAGTTCCATAAAAACAGAGAGGTCAATCCCTTTCTCCCCACAAACACCATTCTTGATATAATCCGTACAAACTGGGCAAGGACTTTAAAAAAACCCCTTAAAGGTATTTTAATGCCAGGTATAAGGATTTCCACTCACTTTTCAACAGCTTCTTTGTAAGAATAACAAGGCTGCAAATCCTTCCTCCTTATCTGATCAGTGATATCTACTCTCTCTTTAAAATACTGGCAGGAACCTTGTATGCCATCTTTGTTATCCAAAATCATGTGGACAGGATAAATATCATCTGAAACAACAGGATCCCTTTTGGTTTCCAGTATTCCAGTTTCAAGGTCTATTTCTTCATATCTGGAATAAAAGCAGAGAGCTAGCACTTAACCAAGCAAGGAGAAATGAAAGATTGTCACAAACAATGCTGATAACTGAAACATTGTCACAAACAATGCTGATAACCCTATGGAACACCTTGGAAAAATTAAGCTCTTTTGAGATATCAAAACAGGAAAAACACAAAGAGCAGAGCTGTGCTCCTCAAGTAAAACCCAACCTCAGCGTGCAGGAGGCAGAAGGAGGGGGATACATTATTTAATCTTCAAAAACTCAAAGACACTGAAGTGGTGGGAATAAGAGAAACACACAGTTCATAGAGAAGGAAAACAACAGGTACATGCACCCTGATGAACGGGGACATGTAAATTCTGCCTGTAAGTGGCAAACAGATACTTGAATGGAAATCTGGTCAGGACTCACAAAGAGGTCACAGAACCACCAAGGTTGGAAGAGAACCTTAAGATCATCCACTCCCAACCACCTACGGTAAGCCTTAAACCACTAAATCACATCACACAGCGCCAGATCCAAACTCCTCTTAAACACCTCCAGGGGTGGTGCCTCCAGCCCCTCCAGGGCAACCTATCCCAGTGCCTGGCCACCGTAACAGTGACAAATTTTCTCTAATATCTAAAATCAGCTCCGGAGCCACACTCCGCCCTTCCTGCTGTCGCCGACCCAGCCGAGCCTGTGCGAGCAGTGGCGAGGGGCCAGCCCGGCACCCAGGCCCGTGTTCCCCCGGCTCGGGGCTCGCCGGCCCCGCCCGGGCCCTCACCCGTCGTGCAGGCGGAGCGGCGGCCGCGGCCGCGGCAGGCGGTAGAAGCGCAGGTCGGGCTGGGCGCTGAGCGCGGCCCAGAGCAGCTGCTGCGTGTCGGGCTCCAGCGGCAGCGGGAAGGGCGGCGAGCGGGCGGCCAGGCGGTGCCAGAGCGCGGCCGGGGTGATGCCGTCCAGCCCCTCCAGGGCCACCTCGTCCAGCAGCGCCCACAGCGCCTCCATGGCCTCCATCCCCCGCCGCCGCCGCTTCCGGGCCCGCGGCGCGCAGGAACTGACGGCGGCGGCGCGACCGTCACCGGGGAAACCGAGCAACAGCAGCGGCCGAGCCCCGGCGGGACGGGAACGGGGCCGGGGCCGTGCGGGGGCTGTGCCCGGGTCAGTGTCTGTCCGGGGGCTCGTCCGGGGGGCTCTGTCCATCCGGAGGCCGTGCCCGTCCGGGGGCTCTCCTCCGGTGTCCGTGTCAGTCCAGGGGTGCCTGTCCTTCGGAAGACTCTGCCCCGGCTGGTCCGTGTCGGTGCGGGGGCTCTGTCCAGGGTCAGTGTCCATCGGGGGTCTCTGCCTGGGGTCAGTGCCTGTCCTGGGGCTGTGTCTGTCCGAGGGTTCTGCTCTGGGGTCAGTCAGTGTCCGTTCGGGGGCTGTGTCCCTCCAGGGGCTTTGCTCCGAGGCTGTGCCCGGTGCCCGTGTCCGTCCGGGAGTTGGTGTCCGTCTGGAGACTCTGCCTCGGGTGGTCAGTGTCGGTCCCGGGGCTCTGCCTGGGGATCAGTGTCCATCCAGGGTCCGTGTCTGTCCCGGGGCTCTGCCTGGGGATCACTGTCCATCCAGGGTCCGTGTCCATCCAGAGTCCGTGTCCATCCAGGGTCCGTGTCCATCCAGGATCCGTGTCTGTCCCGGGGCTCTGCCTGGGGATCAGTGTCCTTCCAGGGTCCGTGTCCATCCAGGGTCCGTGTCTGTCCCGGGGCTCTGCCCGGGGCTCCCCCTCCTCTGCAGAGCCCAGCGGGGTCGGTCCCGAGCCCGTCGGGGGGTCTGGGCCCCGGATACGCCCCGGTCGGTAAAAGACAAAGTACGGGGGTCCTTTGTTTGGGTTCGGTGTGTTGGTGTCACATCTGAACTTGTTGAGTGCGTGAGAGAACGCCCCGGCACAACTCGCGGCAGCGGCTCCGGGATGCTTGGTGGGGATGGCTGGAAAGGGTCGTGTTTCCTGAAAGGGGAGGTAAAATCTTTAATTAGGCACTTTGAAAGTACACAGCCTCTGCTGCGAGTAACTTGTAGAATTAACTCACCTCGTGAGCAGTAGCAGTGCAGGGAGATCACCCCAGAGTTGGACACTGAGGAAGCTTCAGCCTGTGTCCCTGGGTTGACTTGCTCATCAGGTCTTGGGTTATAAACTCATTATATAGCATATGCCTTCCACTCCTAGTATTTTTAGGTTCTTCAGGAGCTTGTGAAGTGAAGGGTTCTGAAAAATAGGTAAAAACAACTACAGTTTCCTTTGTTCTTCAGGAGCTTTATTTGCTGCACTGACAGCTTTATGCCTTGTCGAAGGAGGAACATTTTTCAGTTTATACATTCTCATGTATTGAGGGTGCAAGACCAGTGGTACTCCATAACAAATCATTCAGCCTGACAATTATATTCTTATTTCAGCTTTATATTAAGACATGGTGACTGACTTTGATGAAAAACATGACGAATACTTAATATCCCTTCAGCAGAGAAACAGGTAAGGCACACATTTGTTACCCCCATTGGGTGTGAAATACGTGTTCTATTCTATCAAATACCAGCAGATGTGGTGCACAGTCTGGCTTGCTGTGCTTCAAAGCATTCAGGTGTTTCTCTCTTCTCTTTGTTTGCTAAACACATCAAAGTTCTTATTTCTAGAGGAGACCACGACGTTTCTTCAGCATTTAAAGCATAAATACATTTAGTAATAAAATAGTTATTGTTTTGCTGACTGACAGGGAAGATTTTTGTTCGTAGAGCAAAAACTTGTAGATTTAGAGGTAACTGGCAGCTCATGATGTGTGAGGATATAGTTATGAGGCAAGGTTTTTATGTTGTCAGAAATACAGAAAAGTGGGAGATGAGGACATCCAGGTTGCTTTTGCGTCTTTCAGACAAGTTTCAAACGTTTCTTTTACTGTTTGTTCTTATGTACCTTCCTGTCATTGTACCCTGGACAGATGACCTTCGTAGTTAATTCAGAAGGGCCTGCAAATATTTCTTATTGGATTCCCTCCTTTACCACAAGCCATAAGACTTTTACTCAAATTCTGTAATGAACTGGTTCAGTGAAAAGACAAAAAAAAACTTAAAAAGCCATAGTTATGCTAAAAAAAAATAAGTCCAATTTTTGTGACCACGGGTTTCTTTTGTGTTCAGTTTTTGAAGAGAATAAAACCAATCTATTTAATGATTGAAACAACTTTCATCCTTGGTATCAGAGCTCTAATTCTGGATTATGGTGGAAGTAAATGCCACTGAATTACAGTACAACAAGCAGGTTGGAGGTGTGCTGGGGGCATTTGATGTTGGACACATCTGGCAGTTTGGGGTAGTGGGGCTGCAGAGCTGCCTGTGTGGGAGCAAGTCAGGCTCCTGCTGCATCCAAAACTAACAGAAACAGCCCAACTTTGCCACAACTTCACCAGTCAGAGAAGCCTGGGATGGGTGTAAGAGAGTCGTGGCTGCAGGGCATGGGGGGCTGTGCAGGGGCAGGTGCAAATTGTCACCCACAGGATCCCAACCTCCTGGCCTGCATGTCACCTCACCAAAGGAGCTAGGATGGACTGGGTATAAACCATGGTGAAAGGAGAGAAGATGAGACTTGGAAGAGGGAGGGTAGGTGTTTCACTGAAATTGAGCCCAGGGGAAGGGCATTTTTTAAATATTATTTTACCCAGCCTTCAATTTTCTGGTATCTCTAACAGCACTATTGATTGGGGGCTTTTTACCTCAAGTTTCAAAAAACAAATAATATTTTTCTTTCCTTTTTTTTTTCTTGAAAAGACCTCAACCGTTTTTTTCAAGCTTTTTGGAAATTCCAAGTAAAACTCTGAAAAATTCTTAAGAAGAAAGGTTAAATATGCCAAATACCAATTGGAAAAAATAATGTGAAATGAGAAACAGCGTGGAAAAAATGTCAGAAGGGAGAGGCTTGGTCAAACTTCATTTTGCCACAGTGTTACAGAACAGGAACAGATCCTGGGAGCTGTATTCTGGAAGTGTTGTTTGAACTGTGGACATATTTTTCATCTCTGTGACGTGGCGTGTTGTTGTATTTATTGCTGATCTGACCATCTGTACGTGCACTGCGTGAGGACGAATTATTGTCCTTTCTGCTCCAGGTTACTGGAACGGTTAAAGAGAAAAGATCCTGTGCAGATCAGGCTGGAGCAGCTGGAACAAGGCTTTTCCCTCTATGTGAATGGAGCTAATTCAGAGCTGAGGAGTCACCGCCGAAAAACCAACTCCCACGGCTGCCTCAAAAATGAGACAAAGGCCTCCAGGACAAACGGTGAGTTCCGTGGGAGCCTGGCAGGGAGTGCAGGTAGAACTGTTTGAAAACTGCACTCACTGGAGCTGTAATTCAGTTGATGAGGTCACTGGCCTGGCTGTGATAAAGAGGCAGCACCATTTGAGCTTGGAATGAAATTCCGTGGGGCTCTTTCATCCGAGTGCTTAAGCTGGTTGTGTGTAAGGAACAGTCTCAGCAACACCCTGTCGGTTTTTCAGTTGATCCCTGACTAATTCCAAGGTTTAACTTCCCCTCCTGTTCATTTGTTAAACAGCTCTAACTAAAACTAGAAGATTAGAAGTGTATAGAAATTGTCAGTGTAAAATAATGGTGTATCTTTGTCTGAGACATAACACCATTAATAGGATTTAAAATCTGATGGACTTCAATGTTATCTTAAGTCTGGAGTCCTGAGGACAAATGACATTTGATGACATGGACTGTAACCAAATTATAACCAGTAATAGCTGCATTAAGCTCATAAATGATGTTTAAGCTATAATAGTTGTCTTAAAAAGGCAGCTAATCTTTATTTAAATATTTGAAGTAAAGAAAATCTACCATTTTCTCCCAGTGATTAGTTGGCTTTATCTAAAAATGGGTATTTTGTTTCTAATTTAAGTCTGTCTGTCATTGAGAGCAGTGTAGTAACAGGAATAATTTTGCATGCATGAAGGTATAAAGTATGAGCTTACTGGCCTTCTAATCTATTTAGCATAATGAAAAGAAAGTTGATTTTACTAAATCCTTGCGTAAAGCAGTTTACCAGGCTTAGTCAGTTATATTTACCTTACTACAACCTGTCCCAGAGGGTGTTTTTAATCTGTTGCTGTGTAGATAGTCTGCTTAAGCTTTATTTTCACCTAAAAGTGAAGACAAGGAGTTAAAAAAAGTTACTTAATTTGATAATTTATTATGACTGAAAGTTTATTAATCTCAACAATACTGGAAACTAACTTTTCCTTCAATAACCATGACTCTAACTTAATTTCTCTTTTATTTTGTTTTCCTGCCACACTGGGCACATACTGCTTGTATTCAAGTTTAAGTGTGTTCAGCTTAGCTGTGAAACCTCGTGTGTAGTGATGGAAAAAGGTTCATGCTCTTGGATATTGGAAAATGAAGGAAAGTTTGTGCCTTGTCACTCTGGGATAATACACTTGGAGGGAGCAAAGCAACATCTTTGGCTTTTTGATCCAGAACTTGTGCAGGGATATTGTGGCAGCAGCTCTAATTGAACTCAGTCAAGAGAAATTTCCTCTCAGAGTTCTGCTGTGCAGTTGTTATCTCTAAGCTGATCCAAAGTTCATTATTTTTGTGGTCACTTGATGCCATTTAATTCAGTTAAGGTAGAATACTTGTCTTAGGAACCTTTAAAGATTTCAGTTGCAGTCTCTGTTCCTTTCCTCAGCTCCATCAACTTAGAGATTGTGGCATTATCTCTGCAGAAGACAACTCAGTGCTGTTTCTTCCAGTGTTGATGTTTTAAACACATGAAGCTGCAATGAAAGATGTCAACTGAATCATCATCCTCTCGTTTTTCTTCTTCCATTTCATTTTGCCACTGGAATCCAGAGGGGGAATTATTGTGACCTGTATAAACTTCTTGCCTGGGAATTCTACTTTAGCAATTTTGTGGTCTCTTTCACTTCTAGGCATTTTTCTCAATGATTGAATATGATTTTACTTACAGAAATGATTCCTAGCTGAGATGCAGCACTGAGTTTTCTTCCCTTTCTGTCTCTTGTGAGAGTTATTGCATCATTCATTACTTCTAAAACATCCATCTATAGGATTAGTCTTCACTGAAAAATTAGGAATATGTGATACTTAATAATCCAGAACAGGCACAAATCCCTCTTTCTGGTTCCTAAAAGTGTCAACATAAATCTACTTGTCAGGACTATTTTCTTTGTCTGTGTTCCCTTGGAGTAAATAATGATAATAGTGATTGATACACTTTTATGCTTAGGATTGGTAAATGAATTAAAGTAAATGATGGGCTTGTAGTGAAGCTGAGCTCTAGGTGTCCTGTCATTTCTTTGGGTCTATAACCCACACATAGTTTCACAGCTATGTTTGTACTTCCAATGAATGCCTGTGTGGTCACAAAGTTGTGGTTTAAGGGTAGCATGGGGTCTCCTTTGATTATGACTAATATTTTGATGATGTACTGCTGAGTTCTTGCCTCCTGGAATAGGCACTGTCAGCTCAAGTCTCCAAGGGAATGATACCAATGGACCTATTCCGTGTACCAGAGCAGGTGGTGGTTGGTATTCAGATTCCATCCCACCCCAAGAAGGATGTTTTTGTTCCAAAGTAATGTTTGTTGCACAGATGAGTTGCTCAGCTCCATCAGCCTCTGCCTGGGGTTTGAATTACAGTTTTTCCTGGTTTATAGGGACCTGGTCACGTGAATCCATCACTAAGAATCATAAAATCACAGAATGGTTTGGGTTTGAAAGGGACCTTAAAGCCCATCCCATTCCACCCCCTGCCATGGGCAGGGACACCTTCCACTAGCCCAGGTTGCTCCAGGCCCTGTCCAACCTGGCCTTGGACACTTCCAGGGCTGGGGCAGCCACAGCTTCTCTGGGCAACCTGTGCCAGGGCCTCACCACCCTCACAAGGAAGAATTTATTCCTAATATCCAATCCAAACCTACTCTCCTTCAGTTTGAAGCTATTCTCCCATGTCCTGTCATTGCATTGTCTCGTCAGTAGTTTCTCCAAATACTCAAACAATTCTGAGAACCAGCAGTGATAGCACAATCCTACCCTGTCCCCTTTTCCTGCTTACATATGTAGGATACATGAGTGGCTTCTGGGCAGTTGCTTGGAAGAGATGGATTGCTTAGAGAGTGAAAGATGCTTTTATCCCAAAGCAGTGGCTGAGTCTGACCACCCTTTTAGTATTGTAACCTCAGGGCAATTCACTCTTAGTGTCAGAAGAGCCCTGAAGCAATCAGCACTGATGCTAATTAATAACTGCAGAGTATTTCTGGAGGTACTTAGGAATAGCTTAATGGAGTAGCAGGAGCTCTACTTCCTTTCCCCCTCTTTCTTAGTCCTGTTTTGGGCCTATGAGACAAATACCTTGCACTGAAGCAGTAGAACAGCATCCTGTTCTTGCTCTGTAATGTTATTTATGATCAGTGCAAATTGACATAAGCATACACTGTTCCCCCAAGAATGGTCCTACACTGTTCCTGTTTCCTCCTATCTGCTCATACCAGCATTTGTGCAATCTCCTGGTGAACCAGATTGCACAAGTGGCTGTAATTAAAATTAATCTTTTTTGTTTTTGTGCAGTCAAAACTTGTCCACATCAATTCTCTATTGTCCAACCCAAAAAAGAAAATGTGTTATTGAGAGCTGTAATGAGCAACCTGATCTAATTTTGAAGTAAGCCCTTCTCTGAATGGAAAGCTGGACTAGGTGACCCTAGAGGTTCCTTCCAAACTAAATCTTTCTGTGATTCTCTGACCTTTGCAGGACAATTGGTTCTTTTATTGGTAGTGCCAGTTGCTACTGGCTTAGAGTGACCATTAAATTATGGCTGAAAGAAAAAAGGTTTTGCATCAGCTGTTTTTCTCCACTGAGAAGAAATGGAAGCTGTAAATCTGTCTTGGACACAGGAAATGAGATGCCTTTATTTAGGATGCTACTGAGAGTGTTGGTGATGCCCTTATTCCATTGAGGATGCTGATGTGACCTGCAAGATGTTTGTCTCTTTGTCTCAATCAAAGCACTGTTCCACTGTAAGCTGGGGGCATGTCCAGCACAGGAACCCTTAGTTTTCCTTGACCATACAGAGATTTTTTGCACAAGTTCCAGCCCCAACTCTTCCTTGCCTTAGAAATGAAGGCTAATTGTTGTTTGTCCTTCATTTATGGCTTGTACATGAAGACTTCTTCTCTGCACAGTGTGTTAAATAACTTATACATTCTGTTTAATCTGCCAATATCTCATGTTGCCTTAATTTGAGAGTAAATGCACACAGCTCCTTTGTAAACCCAGCATATCACCTGTTGTTCACCAGAACCCTGTCTGTCAGAGCCTGCCTTTGGTAGTAGGGGTTCTGGGCTCAGTTGTCTTCCTAAGACAGCTTATTGTGTACCCAACTGGGGGTTAGAATGATGTGCACCCCTGTTCTACAACATATTTCTAGACTTTCTAGACAGAAAAAGTGATGCTTCACCTGCTGTTGAGCTAATGTATCTTTAAAGAGTTTGTTCTCTTGAATACACAGGGTGATGATTGTCCCTGAAGAGATTCCAAGCTCCTACTCCCAATAGACAACTGGCCAGGATCTGAAATGGAATGGTGTCTCTGTTGTTGACACCATTCACATGTCAAACACTTACTCCTCTGTCCTCATCTGGAAAAAACCACCAACATAAACCCCAAACCAAAATGTGAACTAAGGTGTATATTGCCACATACTGTATTTCTATTTTCTGTTTTCTAATCCTTGTATTTGTGTTCTGGAAAAGCAGCCCAGCTAGGGGAGAGGGAGTTGCCAGAACACAGCACACAGACTGCACCCAGCAAGATCCAACGCAGGAATTGGCTCCAGGTAAGAAGCAGTTGGAAAGAATGGGTGTTTGAACTCATCCTTAGGTTGTAAATAATTTCAGGAGAAGTTGTTTGCAACCTGTAGATAGGTGGGACTCCCATAGAATCTGAGTCTTGGCTTGGTGGGGTGCTGAGTGACAATGTGAAATAATTCTGTGGCCAGTTTTGTGTCTACTTTGAAGCCTGAAGAGGCAAATCTCACTGAAAGGGTCTGGTTTCAGTGACATCTGTCACAGAAACTTTTGTGGCTTGGACATGATTGACTCAATGTGTCCTCCAGCAGAACAGCTGTTGCTGGACATCTCTGATGGCAGCCTCCAGTGCAAAAGATGGAGAAACTCATTTTTGAGAGACATCCCTGCCTGTCAGTGGTGTTCTTCACACTGCAATAGGGTTGAGGGACACAAAAGTGTAATTTGCATAGCTTAAGTTGTAGTTTGTGACAAATTCCTGTAGATCATAAGAGAGGAAAATGCACAGAGATGAAAAAATATCCTGTATATAAGAAATGTGGAGCCATTAATTACATAGTTGTTGGTTCAGTGGAGAAGCATCAATGGTCTTTTTTTGTTTTGGCCTAAAGAAGGATTTGAGTTAACCTGTCAAGGAGTTTGGCTTAATTAACAGAACAAATGGGAATTCTGAAGAATGGAGACATGTCACCCAAATAATTACCCTACTTGATTAGCAGTTGGCCTGGCTGTCCAGTGGCTGGGGATCAGGGTCTGTGTCACTGTGGATCAAGTGTTCATGCCATGCAGGTTTGCTTTTCTTCCAGCAAATATTGCACATTCGAGCTTTTAGGCTGCATTACTCTATTTATCACCCTTACTGCTTCAAAGTTGAGTTTAATTAATTTTCTCAGCTGCTATTACTCCCAGTAGATCACTGCTTACACACTGGCCTGTCAGGACTTGTTTGCTAAATTTGCCAAATGTGTAGAAAGTCATAACCTGTGTCATTCCAGTGAAGAAGGAGGCACATCCTCTGACTGGATTGGAAAGTTAGCCAAATGTAGGCAGCTATACTGAAAACTGGCCACTACTTGGGACTAGCTTAGGATGAAACCTTAAGTCTTTTATCCAGTTGGATGGGAAGATAGCAGTTATCCTAATGAACAACTGGAATTATTTAGCTAAGGAAATATGCAACCACTGAGTAAGATGGAGGTTGTGCTATTCAGCAGTTTACTTTCCCAGGGATTTTCCCTGTGGGTTTTTTGGATAGCTGGAGGACCCAGCAATTCATGTCCAAAACTGCCAGACTTGGGCTGTGCTAAGGTGTGTTCTGAGGGGGGAGGATAGACTTGCTGAAAGAACTCGGTCTGTCAGAAGCCAGGTTGCCTTAGGAAATTCCCTCTGGGACATCTCTGCCCCTGGCACTTATAAAATTGTAGAGGAGTGTGTGAACAGCAGATCATGAGGTTTAATATCACTACACGGGCTTCTGTGTCACGTTGCCTTTAACGAGACTGTCCTCTTGCCATTGTTCACTTAGGAGACACTGGGACAGCAGCAGCAGGTCAGGAGTTTGACCGGGGTGGTTAAACTATAATTTAGAGGCCCAAAGGTGAGCTCAGGGAGGACAGAAACCTTCTCTGGAACAAAGGGGAAAAGCAGTGCTTGATGTAGGCATTGTTATGTAAAATGTGATGATTATTCTAGCACCAAAGACATCTAGTTTCTTTGAATGCTTCTTTTAACAGAAAACTGTGGCAATTAAAACAGAAAAAGGGGGTAAACTCTACATTAAACCATCTCTTCAGTACTCTGAGGATTTTGAACCTTATGAAAGCTTGACCTTGGAGACAAATGGTGATGATCCTCTCCATTACTCCCAGGTACAATTGGCAGTTGCCTTCTATTCTATTCTATTATTCATGGTGGTGTCATTTGAAATGTGAAAGGGCCCAGGGGTCAGTCTTGACTGGTGCGTCCAAACCCAGAATATAGTGGTTCCTTCATTAGGTCATTCTGCATTGTTGAAATGTGAGATAAAGAAGGAAAAAAATGAAAAGTAAAGCTCCTTTTGAAAATCTGATCTCAGTCAGCAACACTGCAAAGCATTAAGTCCTGTTTTAAAGAGGTAGAATATTGTCCCTGTTGGACTGAATCAAGGTATTCCCTGCAAGGAGCCTCTTTCAGTTCATGGCTGTCCACATGAACATCACTCTTGGCTGTCAAGTTAGAGAAGGCTGAAACAACAACTTTTTCTGGGTTTAGGTTAGTTTTTGAGTAATCATGCTAAAATTGTTGCATGTAATTGTTTTATCTAACAAAAATCAGACTAAAGTTTTAAAAATATTCAAATCAATACAGTTGCTTTCCATCAAGGGTTGTTTTTGTATGGACTGTGCAGCCTCTTCTTTGATTGCTAATTGCAGTTTGTTCTGGCACACCTCATGAATGTCCTGTCCTTAAAAAAGATGAATAAATGAACAAAAATTTATGGTTGTTTTTCTGCTTAACCAATTAATGACACCAGTAAAGCTGTTGTGGGTAGTGGAGTACCATCTATCTATGAAACTGTCTGCAGATCTTATCACTGACATCAGACAAAATTCCCAAGCATATTTTCTTAGCTTGCACCTGTCTCTCTTTCCTATATTGCTCTTGAGTTTGTGATTATTTTTTTGCTCTACAAGCTGGTAACTTGTTTACAGTGATGGATATTTATAATCTTTAATAATTTTAAACTAACCCCCCCACTTTTCTTTTTATTCCAGATGGAAATACTTTTTGATTTTCCTGAAGCTATAATGTGTTTTCGTGAATGTCTTGGTACAGTGCAGATGCATGAGGTTTCAAACTAAAAGAAAGGCTGTACCATTTCCTGTCAAATACCTAGAAATATTAGTCTAGACTGTCATAAAGACATGCTCCATATCAAGGCTCAGATTGCTTATAAACCCTCTTTTGAACCTAACTTTGCCTGCTCTTTGTAATATGCATCTGTCAACATGGATTTCCTAACAAGTGTAATCTGTAGCAGCTCAAAGCTTTCATTGCAAACTGAACATACACTGTCACAGTTCATTAGTACCTGAAGTGGCTTCAGGTTTTCATTTTATGTAGTTTGCTTACCTATATTTATCTCAAAACTCTAATATCAACAAAACAGGGGGGAAAAAAGCATGTAAGAGATGCAAGGTCTTTTCCTTTTGCTTTCATAAAAGCACGCAGCTCTCCAGCATCATCTGTGCTGTTTGTGGCATATAATGAGAGAGGCAGGGCAATTTTTTCCACAGCAAGTTTAAAAATAGATTAATTTTTGCATAAAATCCTGTTACAGTGTGTCCACTTCAAAAAATCTGTGCAAACTGGGAGCTAAACCCATTAGATCACAACTCTTTTCTGCTGGTTTTTGAAGTACAGATGTGTAGAAGGCAGGACTATTATCATCTATCTAAGTGCTTATAAAGAATTTGATATTACATGATATTGGCAGTCTTGTCAAGGCATTTGGAAATTCTGGATTGCAGCTACTCTTCAAATAGAAAGAGACTGGACATATATATGCCCTTGCCCCCTCCATTACTCACTTCCTGTTTGCAACTTATTCCTAAAAAATTGATTTTGCACATAAAAACTCCTTGGCCTACAGAATGTTCCTGCAAGGATACTGATGAGGAGGGACAAAGGAGTTGTAGGATGAGTTTTCTTTACAAACCTTATCAAAGGATTGAAGACACAACCTAGGAATATGAATATTTTTAGCTGCATCGTGGCTTTGAGTTCATGAGGACGGTTTTTTATCTCCTGGGGAGGAAGAGGCAGCCACACTGGTTTATTTTAAAATACATATTTGAGCTTTTCTGACAGATCTGCTCTTATTGTACCAGGAATTGAGGAGCAGCTTGCAACACAGTGTAGAAGAGGAAGGGATGGAAGAAGACTCTCTTAGTGATGGCTCTGACTCTGTTGAAGAGGATGTGTTTTCAGAGCCATCTCCCACTGAGGAAGAGATTTCAAACTTTGAAGACCTTCATTTCCATGGCAGTAGGTCACTGCAGAAAGAGGTTTCTGAACATCAGGATGCTGGGAGATGGTCTGGCCTTGATTGTGGTGCCCTCACTGTGCTGGAGTCCAACCAGGATCAGAGCAGTGAGTCTCTGTGTGCTCTACCCTGCTACAGTACTGCAATAATGATTCTCTGAGAGCAGTGTTTTTAAGGGAATGGCTGGCTAATCATTGGGGGTTACTCCATACTCTCATTTTAATCTGCTGATTTGGAAGATTTGCATCTTCTTGCTACTTTATTAAGAATTCTTTTTCAAACACGAAGATATAACCCTAGTTAATGCCCTGCATCACCAGGTCTAGACACTTGAACAAATATTGTCTCAGATTGTCTGTGGGATTTCTCAAGAAATTACTATGTTTTTAATAGGTTTTTGAACTGTTTTTGCAGTAATTCAGGCAGCCAAACCTTCCCAGTCTCAACTTTATTTTACATCCTGAGTGCTGGATACTTGTTGTTATAGTATGTGCTATTTATCCTTGGTAAATAATATGAGCCACTACTTTTTGTGTCCTTTGGAGACCTCAATATCCAAACCCACAACCAGTCACTAGGTCTCTAAGGTATTTAGCTTGTCAAAGGTGAGGAGTTCAGGCAGAAACCAGACCTAGACTTACATTCACTATTTCTCAAAATTCCCTCCCACTCATTTCAGGTTCAGTAATTGGTTTTGGTTGTTGGTTTTGTTTATTCTTTCTTTTCCTTATTCATAATTGATTGCATAAACTAAGAGGAACAATCTTTGAATAAATTGAGCAGAGGATTGTTCCTCTCATTATCATTGATGTGAATGGAGTGTGAATGGGGAGGGGGCAGAGGAAGAGATAGGAACAAAGGATGGAGCTGCAGTGAGAACAAGATCTTTGGGAAAGTATATGATTTTTTGTCTAGATAAAGGTTTCAAACCTGTAAACAATGGAGGCATTAATAATTCTCAAATAAAAAAGGGAAGAAGTACTTAGATGAACTACACTAGGCAGCCCTCTAAATAAGACAAGATTTAATCAGTATTTTAAGAATTTATTTTAGTGTAATGTGTTAACAAGTGACTCAGGAGTTCATTTTTATTTTGGCTTTTCTTGACAGTAATGCAGGTAAATACCTGGTAGAGATGAGATCTATTGGTAAACTGGAATAATATTTTTATTTTGTGTCACTTAGTGCAAGCCGTGCTTCTGTATCAATAGAACAATATCAATGAGAGGGAGGGAGATTATCACTTTAACTGTGCCAACATAATTAAAGCAGCAAAACCTTAGCAGTTAGGATCCAATCATTTTTTCCCAGGATGACTGCTCCTAAGTAACTTCAAAGTTGATTATTTCTGTTTCCTTTTGGTGTTGCAGAAGTGAAGCCAGTGCGAGTTCTCTCTGCCAAAAGAAAGGACAGTGCTGAATTGTACATTCCTGTCAGACCAGTCATGGTGAAAAACAAAGGCACTCGACCACTCTCTGCTGAGTTCTTGCACCAGGAAAGACACGAAAAAATTTGTTCTAGTAAGAAATAAGAATATATGATGTCAATAAGGAGAGTTTTCATGCTTTTTCTGCCTCTGGCTCAGATGCAATTTCAGCACATATCTGTCATTATGTGATTTTTTTTTAGCTGTCCCTCTCCTGCCTTTTTTTAGTTGTTTTTAACAACTTGAGTGTTTTCACTTCAGTAAAATTGTGAGAAGATCCAGTGCCTGCATACTTTAGTCTTCTGTATCTTTACTGTCTTCCTTCTCTTTTTGTTTCCACAGCATAAGACTTTTTGCCTCTGCCTTTCAGTCCTTGCACTTTGCTCTGTGTTTCCCACTTTCCTCATGGAGATCTATTCCCTATGGTGTTAATGGAAGTGTGTCTTCTCCACATCAGCAGTTGATGCTGATGTGAAAGATCTTAACCTGATGCATTTGTAGCAATAAAAATGGCATATTTTTTCCACAAGAATAAAGGCATAGCTTTCCACAGCACAACAAAACAGCCCTGTTGCTGCTTGGGACTGTACTGGAATTACACCTTGAATATTGGAGATCAGTCTCCAGTGCTGGGTAGATATGCCAGTATCCAGAACCATTCTGGAAAATATTTTTCCTGGACTGAAGAACAACATTTTGCAGGCACTGCTGCTTATCCTAAAAATCTGCTGCTAAAATGTGGTCTTTACCTGGGAAAAAAACCAACAACACACACCAAACCCCAAAACTAGGGCTGAAATCATGACTGCAGCTGTATTTCAGTGCAATCCTAAACAAGTCTGATGAGTTTTGAAAGGTCTGAGATGAAGTTTTCAGACATGCCTTACTTTGTGGTTCAGATGCTCTTTTCAAAAGAGCAAAATCCACTCGTGTCCCAAGAAAGCAATAAGGCTAATGGTTTTGAGAAGTCCAAATATTAGTTTCTTAACTGGCAGAAAACCAAATGGAGGAAAAGAAGCTAATTCTTTTTGGCTTCAGAATAAATCCCCTTTGTAGCTTCTGAGACCCTCACCCACCATCTGTCTGAGCAGATGCTTGCTTTGACTGCTTCCCAAAGATGTGTGCAGCATTTCCTCAGGTTATAACAGTGCTTGTTGGAACTGTTTCTGCCCAACTACCACATTAAAGCTTTAATTTCATTTCAGGGGGATGATATAGTACAGAAAAGTAAACAGGACTTTATCCTGTCCCTGTTTTTGCAAAGATGGATTAATGCTTGTTGAAAGGTTTCGTGTGTGAATGTGTAAGGAGTGTGAATACATGCAAATCTCAGCTCAGGTTTAATTTCTTGTCTTTTCAGGGTAGACTTCATGTTACTTGCATCCACTGCACTGTACTCTCCTGCTTAGTAAACCTCCCTGCAGCATTGTGAGCTCTCTGAAATATCAATCTGTTCTTCAATATTTCCACTCAATCTAAGTGTCTTTACAACTTCAGTCTCTTTTCTTCCCTTGACTTTCAAAGCCCTCAGCTATAACCACTGTGCTTCTCTTTTGAATATAACCACTGTGCTTCTCTCTTAGTCCAATCTCAGATCATCTGTTGTTAAATTTTATTTCCTTTCTTTTAAACCCGTTTATAGGCTGTGATGTTTCTATTTCTCCTTGAAGTTTGGGAAGATTGGGATGTATATGGGCATTGTGATGACTACTTAAGTCATAAGGTGACTTATTCTGCCTTGCAAATAGCAAGTCCTGGCTCCCCTTGTTTTGCTGGAAGACTCTGGGGATTCCTCCAAAGTAGCTGAACACCCCAGTTACACTGCAAAACCCTGCTGTGCTTAAATTATATGTACTTCTCTTTCAGTGGACTATCACAAGGCAATTCCACTAAATACCAGAACGAAGCAATCCAAAACCATAAAAATTATGTTTCTCATTTGTCAGTTTTCCTCTTGTTACGATGCTGTTTTAACTGTTGTCTAAACTAGATGTGAATCTTAATATAAAACCAAAGTGGAGGAATTCAGCCTCACTTGGGATGGTTACTGCAAAGCCCTGTGTCAGTAACTGAACTGGATGTTTCAAATGGATGCTGCTGTGATGTTCCATACCTGTATGTCCAGGCAGATAAATGTTTCTTCCCTCTTTTGGTGGCAGGACCCTTAAGTCGACCAGAGAGGTCACTGTCAGCCACTCGGAAGAACGTGTGTGAGAAGGATCCTGATCTCTCGGTTTCAGCTGTGGTTCAAGCCATGAAAACTGAGAATGAAGCCTTGCAGAGGGACCTACAAAGCTCCACAGGCCCTGAAAAGGTGTGGAAAATACCAGAGAGAGCTGTTTGATCGAGTAGCAAACCCCCCATGACTTACAATCTCTTACACGTTGTGTATGAATGGATGGTGATGCCTCTTAAGTGTAATTGAATTTGTATTATTCTTCCATAGGGTTGTTTTCTTTAATCTGCTTCCTCAGGATAGCATCCCACAGCTCTCTCTTGATTATAGGGATCACTGAGCAACTGATAGACCAGCAGTGTGATGTGTCTATACAGTCAAGTGCACAGCTGCAGGCCCAGTTGAGCCATTTTCATCCTGGAAGCTTCTTAAACAAGATAATGTGTGACTTCTGTACCAATAAATCCTACATTCCTGTGGGACTCATTAATGTGGGCACTCTTCCCTGTTAGTACAGTGTCATGTACACTGCTAGATCTTACTGAGGAGGAGCTGGTATGGGTTTTCTGTGTGTACATCTCTTATCTCCAGCAAGCGTGTTTAAAAACAATTAAAAACTCATCTTAAAAGCAAGAAAATCAATAAAAACTAGCAAAAATGTGGAGTACAGGCAGAGAAAGAGCATTGTAAGAAATTTAGCAATTTTCCTCTGTTTTCTTTCAGGTAGTCACTGATAGTTCTGTATTTAAAAAAAGAAATAATTTTTTTATTCTAATAAAACTGAGGGGTTTGGGGATTTAAAAGTGTTTGTGATCCATTTTTGGAGAAGGAGTAAGTCAGTAGACCTCTGCCAGAAGTTTGGCCAACCCTGAGTCTCATCAAATGTACAGAATGAGAATTTTTTACATATATATTATGTATATATCTAAATATGTGAAAGTCCTCAGAATATGCTTTTATGTTACTTTTCTTCCATGTAGAAGATCAAGCTCCAAGCTCAGCTCTTTCATTGCAAATCAAGACCAATTCTGTTAAATGTGCTTTAAATCAGTACAGAATTACAGATGAGCTGGGCCCAAACTCTTATTTATTCCAGAGATGCAGACTGATGCTCATTGGTATGTGGAGAACAATCTGAATGAAACATGTTCATCTTTTCTTCCTTAGAAGAAATCTTCTGTTTCATCTCTTGTTTCCTCAATGACTGAACCTCCAGAAAAAAGCCAGACTAGGAGTGCAGTGACAAAAGCTGAGAGAATCTGTCCTTTTGGAAGCAGGTATATATATTTGCTTTAGGCTAACTTCCCTTTTTTTGAAGAGAGATTTTTCAGAATGCCACTACACCTGGTAATCTTCAAATCCCTCAGACAACCATGCAAGTAGTAGCAAATCAGGGAATCCAGCCTTGGGCCAGTCTCTGCAGAGCAGGGATCTGCTGACATCTTCCTTTATTGTATTTATATAACCTGGGCGTTGCTTTCTCAGAACCAGCTGTGAACTGAAGCCCAGTTTTTTAACCAAACCCTGTGTTTTTAAGATGGGATGCTGCAGCAGTTCTCATTCAGTGTGGGGCTACATGAGTTTTTCTGTGGGGTGTGTGAATTCATCCTATCATCTTTTCACACCAGCAAAACTGTTTCTTAAAAATGCAGGAATTATGAGGAAGTAGCACATAAAAGAATATGTTGTTTCAGACAAAAGAAGAAACTTCTGAAAGTCTTTCTGGAGCATGAGAGCCATTCTACCTGTGACAGTGACAGATCCCTGGCTGATGACAAAGCTGAAGTAGATTCCATGTTGAGAGAGAAGGTTTGTGTGTATTTGCACCATAATTGATGCTTCCCAGAATTATTAAAATAAAAGTACAGTGAATGATCTGTATTCCACTGATTCTGCCCCATGGCAACTAATAAACCTGTGGCAGAGTTTATCACTTCATCAGAATGACAAAGGAATCAGACAAGGAACAGGGACCTGTTTTCTCTTTGGGCTTTTTGAGAAGGTTGGTGTATGGTGGAACTGGTGGAACCCAGAATGAACTGAATGCCATCCAGATAGCCTTGACTTTGCAATCTTTTTTGCCATGACCCATCAGTGTTGCAATCTGAACAGCGTTTGTTTTGTTCCACACTTTACTGTTTTGTCACTTAAGGTTTTTACCATATTTCATTTTGGTCCAGGTGACAGCCAACATGGAAGTGCATGATGCCATTTATGTGACTATGGAACTGCTTTCTAACTGGGGAAATCCAGGAAACGTGGGCCTGAGCCAGGTGGAATTCTTTGATTTACACGACGAGAAGATCTTTGTGTCTCCCCATGATGTGGACATTCGAAATGCTGACAACCCAGGGGATTTGTGCTGCCTGGTCAATAAGAATTTAAATGTAAGACAGCCTAGTCCTGGATATTAAAATCTCTCATTATAATATAATACTCTATCACCAGGTTTTTTGTTCAGAAACATGATTGCATTTTGAACCTGACTGCATAACAACTATGATAATTTAAAAGACTACAAATATTGCCTATTATTAACAAATCCTGCTTTCCTATCCAAGATGTTGGTATTCAGTTATAACTTTGCTTTAGAACAGTGTTTGATTAATTTGCCTGACTTGCTTAACTAAACAATTGAATGGAGGAATCTTTAACTCTGCCTCCTTATGTATTAACTCTGTGGCATTGTCCTGAGTAAAAGAACACATTCAGTTTTTAAGTTTTGTGCTGTAGAACAAGATCACAAAACTTTGAGAACAGTAAATTTCACCTTTTTAGAGTGTGTGTGCTGATAAACTGAAGTAATTCTTGTGGTCTCAAGGTGTAGGAGCTTCACTGCTGATTTTTTTCAGATGTTTAATATGAATTTTATAAGAGAGTAGAAAGAGGGAAAATGCGCAGTGTTTTGAAGTTACTTGAAACTCAATATGGAGTATTATTTCCAGACAAATATTTTTACTTGAAACATCTTTCTTACTGTCTCCTGAACAGTGTGGTCTCTAAATATCCATTCTCCTTTACAGGCTGTGTGTCTGGCACTCAGTAGTAGTAGTAGTGACTCTCAGACTCTCCAGCTAATTATAAATTATGTGGTAATACCTTCATTAAGCCATTATAAACCTGTTATTCTCAGCATTACTCATATATTTATATATCCCATTATTCTTAAGTAATGAGGTTTTACATTTCATTGATTAATATATTCCTTTGATTTGTGACACTGTAATCTCCTCTCTTGAAGCTGGAAGGGTATTGCATCCAAGATGCAATCTGGACAGGGAATACAGTCTTAGGATTTGGGCATGTGATACCTGAGCTGCAGGTTCTTTCAGAAGTCAGACAGCATTTCCAGTTTGTGTACATTTCAGGAGAGCTTTTGGGTGCATTAGAAAACCCGATAAATGAATCAATCTCCAAGCAACTCATATTTTCAAGAGAATGAAAACTTGACATAAAAACTTATTACGTGGAAAACTCCTTTTACCATGCTTAAAACACTTCCATCTTTGTTCATTTAGGTGTACATTTGTCTTTGAGAATAGACAATAGATTGTCTTACTGAACATCAGGGATTTTATTTTATTAGTTTATTTATTACCTTTGCAGACTTCTAAGAAGAGCACTTGAATTGCCTCCTTCCTTGTACTTTGTGATATACTGTAAAAGAACAAAATGCCTGGCAGAACATCAGGTGCTCTCTCCTAACTCGATTTAGATTAGAGATAAGGAAGAAATAGGGCGAGGGTGGGGAGGCCCTGGCACAGGTTGCCCAGAGAAGCTGTGGCTGCCCCATCCCTGGAAGTGTTCCAGGCCAGGTTGGAGGGGGCTTGGAGTAACCTGGGCTAGTGGAAGGTGTCCCTGCCCATGGCAGAGGTGGAACAAGGTGATCTTTAAAATCCCTTCAAACCCAAACCATTCTGGGATTCTGCGATAATGCTTAATAAGACATAGATTAGGTATTGCATTGAAATTGTTTCCTGTAAACCTTTTTGATTCTTATACACATATATATATCTTTTAAACCTCAGAATAACAAGGACAGGTAACTGTAATTCTAGAAATATCTAACAAGGGTATTTCTTCCCAATGGTGAACCCTTAGACCCACATCATTCCCCTTCACACTGCTTGAGTCTTCCTTTGCTCTCCATCAGGTGTACCTTCAGTGCCCACACAAAGCAGTGTCCCACAAAATCTAAGACTAGAGGTTTCCACTCTCCCTTTTCGCCTTGATCCAGTTTGAATTCCAACTCCTTAACCTGTTCACCCTGATGGTTCAAAGAATTTTTGGGCTGGATTTTCCAGCTCTGTTTGCATAGACAGTAACCCCAGACTCAAGTACCTCATGTGAAGGCAAAGGCATCACCGTCACTCTTGGTGATAAAACATGAGAATCCTCCACAGTTTTGAGAGTTTTGGCATGGATTCTTCAAGGTGCCTTCGGTTTGTGGTGTCAGGTCTTTGACATGCTGATGGGGACTGTAACACCTGTGAGTTTGTGTAACCCCAGTCCTAAGTGGTTACTTCCACTGATAAACCAGAGATCTCTGTGCCTCTCACTCACAGTACTGGCCTGGCTCTGATGTACCTCCTGTTGTTTGGAGGGTCATGTGCAGCTTTACAGAGAAACTGGTGAGAAGCATGGAGAATTCTTTCCAGAGTCCATTTTGGTGCTGAATCAGGTACCCTCCTGTGAAGGCACCTCTGGCTCTCAGTACACACCAGAACCTATTGATTTCTGGGGCATCAGGTCCTGGCTGGAGAGGTCTGCAGGTAGATTGCTCATCAGATATTCTATGCTGTTGGGAAATTATTTTTTAACCATTCTCGTTCATAGTATGACTTCAAAAACATGATGCAGCTTTGAAGTTGACCCTGGAGTTGGGTTCACACTGATTTGAAGGCTATCTTTCATTCCTTTCATGTTAAGAGGCATCTTTCTGTTCTTCAATAGAAAGTATTAAACCTGTCTGGCACTCCTGTGGCTGTTTTTACCCCAAGCTGACATTACACACAACAACAGTCTCCCAAAGCTTTTTGAGAGGCTTCTGGGGCAGAGACATCGTGACCTGGGGGAGTTTGGAATGTGGAGATGACCACTGTGAGAAGTGGATCTATTCAGGATATCTCTGAACAGGCTGCAGAGCTCTGTCCTCACCATCATTAGGCACACAGCTGAAGTACACAGGAGGAAAGTTTTATGATTACTGCCTTCAGGAAAATCTGAAAGACTCACTTCAGAGTGAGAGGATGTGGAAAAATACTGACTGTGTACCTACTGTGTCACTGTATGTACTGTGTATCCTTGAGAACAGAAGGGGGCTAATTTATCTCCTCATCTCAGATCACTGAAATGTTACCTGCATGTCTATTCCCTTTGTGCCCTTCTTCATCTCTGTTTTGTGATAACATTTGACATCAAGTATATTAATATTCAGCATTTTGATTCTGAAACTCTTTCCTCCTTGCCTCTTTCTGAGGTGCCACACATCCTTTTACTCCACTTCTGAACACATAGAGGTAGCAGTTCTTTACAGTTTTCAGAATTGGTACTTTTAAGTCTCTTGATTGCCAGTTGTATGTAAAATTCATGTTGGGAGTTTCTGTGATATCTTGGAAAATATGAAATGTAGAGTTCTATATAGCTCCAAGGAATAGATCTGTAAGTGATGTTGGCTGTCTGCAAAGCCTGATTAAAATAGAGGCAGGCAATAAAGTAAAATTCTATAAGATTTCCCTCTTTAGAGAGCAAACCAGAAATGTAAGCACAGGAAGAAATCATGGAATGATTGTCCAGTGTCCATTGTGCTCAGTGATCCCCTCTAGTACAGGCAAAGCTGATTAATTTGATTAAAATAAACTGGGCTTGCTCTGACCCTGCAGTTCCAAAGCAGGGCAGGCTGCCTGTGGTTTGTGAGTGTGCAGATGCCTCCCTGGGACAGCGAGCAGCTGACCTTTATCTCATTGTCAGGTTCTTGGGAGCTGCCTTAGAGGCAGGAGAGTCGGATTTGCTGCCGGGAAATGAGGTTGAGGTTTTGCTCTTACGTAGTAGATTTTATTGAATTTTCTAATCTCTGCGTATTCTGCCGTGGGGTGGGGAGTTAATTAAAATTAAAACCCTTGCTTGAGGAGGAAGAGTTAGTGACAGTCTGCTTGTGTGTTTTTAGCTCAGGAAGGAAAGCTGCCTCTGGATGTGCCCTTTCCATCCGCCCATCCAACTGTACTTTGTTATCCGCAATCCCACCCGGTCATGTGACTTTGGTATATCCAAGATCAAGATTTGGAATTACAGCACAACAACTCCCAGTGTAAGTAGTCTTTTCTCAACTACTCTGTACCTTTGCTCTGCCTTGCCTAGGGAAATTCAGTTTGCTCTTCTTTCTAAAAGCATGAAATAAAAATAGATATAATTTTCTCTAACAAAATAGGAGCTATGAGGTGTCCCTGTCTGCTGTGAAATTTGCTTCTGTCTTAATTGTAAGTGGAAACAATGTGGTGATAATGTTTTCATAGACAATGAGCATTTTCTTTCAAAGCTATTAAAGATCTCTAAAGACCTAATAAAAGGCTTGTGTATTGTGTCACTTAATCCTTTACTGTGGTGAGATAAAGATTTGAAGGTAAGTGCATCTTAATATTCAGGACTCTCAGTTGTTCTATCACAATCTAACTATGTGTTTAAATATGTGTTTTCTCATGTATATAAATGTAAATAGGCTGACTGTTGCTCAAGTTTGGGTTTGTTGCTTTAATTAGAATCACAAATTGGTTTGGGTTGGAAGGACCTTAAAGACCATCTAGTTCCAGCCCCCCTACCATGGCCAGGGACAATTAAAAACTCCACTACTGTGTGCTCATAATAAAACAATCTACTGTTAGAAGAGAGACATATCATGGCAGATGGCAGATGGTCTCTTGTCTCTGTGTTTGAATGTCACCATGAAAATTATTCTTGTTTGTACACTGCAGTGTTAAGAAAGAAATCCCAGGTACTGGATCAAAGAGGATTTGCTGTCCTGGATTATGAATAAGAGGGTTTATCCCTCTGGTTTTGCTCTCATCCATGTTCTTATATAAGCACATATGGTAATTTATACATATGGAAATGGCCATGGAAGGGGCAGCTTATACAAGTTTACTATTACATGATTTATATTTGTTTTCCTGGAATTTTAATAGCTTTTTCCACTAAAATTGCAGTCTGCAGAATGTTCCATCATCATTAGAGTGTGCGAAAGGGATGCTGTTCTTGGAGGTAATGGTAGGATTTGTTACCAAACCTCCTGAATATAATGCAGGAAGAACAGAGAAATGGATGTCTGTGTGTCAAGGCACTGCTTTTTTAATAAACTGCTATGAGGCAATCTCTAAAATCCACTGGGAGTGTAATCCCATGGATTTTGGTGGAAGTGCAGCAGTTTATACTTATTAAAGAAATGTCTCATTATCCTTAAGGTGAAAGAATAGCAGGCAGTTCTGCCTAGTTCTGTAATTTGTCATGAGGAAGTTTTGTCTGAGAAGTATAAACCCCAAAAATATAATTAGCTAACAATTTTCTTCCTGCTAGTGTAAGTCCAGAGCCAGATTTCCGTGTGGATTTTCGTAATCGTTCTTACTGCCTTTTCCCCCCTCAAACGACACCTAAGCCAGAGGTGCCCAAATACTTCTTGCAAAAATAGGCAAAAAATTAAGTCAGGCCAGTACTTTTGTATGTTTGAGCTTTGGAACTTGAGTCTAGAAGGAGAAAAAATATGTTTGAAGGAGGCTGTAAAAGTCTGATGACATCATTGCCATAGATTCCTCGATTCATTGAATTACAGGGAAGGTCTCAGAAGATGCTTCATCTTGCCTTTATTTACTTCAGATGAGATCTGCAAAAAAGGAGGTCATTTTTAGTCTGCAAGAAGGGAAGAAGTGTAAGAAAGGGCAGCCAGTTCTTTTCAAACTTGTCTGCAATAGTCAGACATTTTAGAAGTACTTGCTACAGTCTTGAAATTGCATCGTTACTCGTTGCTGTCAAAACTTTTTGTAAGATCCAATATAATGTCTGTGGTGTGTCTTCACAAATCTGTGAGTGGAATCAATACTTTAATGCATTAAGGTCTTAGTTGCTCTCCAGTTGGTTCATTTTCTTCTTCAAGTGGTTGCCTATATGTGTGTTCCTCCTGTGCATATGCTCATGTCCGTTCTCTTGAGCTGGAGATTTGTCAGTGCTGGATTACCACTTGATTGACTGTAAGGCTGCAGCAGCTTTCTTACAGCACAATTAGTTCTATAGAAAAACTTTTTTTCTTCTCATTCTTGACTTCTTTTCTATTGCTCCTTCTTTTTCACACTTCTGTGAGAAATCAGGCAGAAGCAATTTCAAGTCCTTTATCCAGGGGTAATTCTCAGAAAAGTGCCTCTGGTTTTATGCTTTGTCCTTCGTGCATAAATATCCCTGAAATGGCCAGAAATTCCATCCTTGTTGTCTCACTGGGAGGCACTATCCCAGCAGGCACTCTGAGGGCTGAAGGTGCAAGCTGGGAAGGAACACCAAGAGAAACTGTAGAATTACTTCCACAAAATCTTTTTTTTTCCTTTCTGATGCTGATCACACCTCCCTGCTTGTTCTGAGACATTGTGCCATTTTAATCACTCTTCCAGGAGGAAAAAAAAACTGCCTTGGATGAAACATTGGGTATTTGTTTAGAGGATGGAATTACCCATGTGGAAGGGACTTTTCCAGCCTCCTCATGCTCCAGGAGAGCAGAGCAGTGGTACCAGGGAAGCTAAACCATGGTGTCAATCTTTCCCACCAGAACTGATCACTAAGCAACTGAAAGCTCAGAAGAGGGGTGGGAGGGAATGAAAAAGAGCAGTTCTTAGTCTTGTGCCTGCATATGTTTGTTCTCGGAGTCTCTGAGATCTGTTCATGTTTTTCTTCCCTGAGGCTCAGTCTGCTTTAAGATTTTGGTGCAAAAGATTTTCATTAGCTCTTTTCCTGGTTCTTCCTGAGTAGATGGTTTTCCTGAGCTATCAGCTGTTACTAATGCCTGCCCCAGTTCAGTCTGTCTCTATTGTCCTACAAATATCCGTAGCTTTGCCTGGTTCATCTGGATACACTTCAGACACCTCTTTTGCTTCCTAAAATACCTGTCTCAGATATTCCAAAGCATCAGAGAACAGGAAGTCTTTTCCCACTGACTGAAATAGTAATTTTGAAGTGACTGGCCCTTTTCTGGGCTTGACTGTGCCTCCTTCAGGGAAAATGACCTCCACCCTCTCATTTTTGTTATGTTTTCTGTCCTTCTCTGGTACTGGTGAGTGGAGTGGGTTTGATTTCAAAACAAGTTGCTCTTAAGGTTGCTGATTTTAATTTAAAAAGATGACATTGACAAATGCTTTTCAAATGAACATGTGTATTTCTGTTGTCCCATGCAGTTTCTATCCGTCCCTAGGTAAAAATGCAGAACTGAGAGCTGAGTGTTCCTAACAGCAGTAGAGGCTGGGATATTATGTAGAAATGTTGCAGTTATCCCAAATTCAGCCGTGAATATCTGAAATCTCCAGCATTTAAGGAGGACATTGGCAGTCCAGACATACAGAAATTTAAAAAATAACATTACTGGGGCATCCTGATAGTCTTTCTCTTCCTCATCATAATTTCAGGCAAAGCCACGCAGGTAGTTTTTTATAGATATAATTATTGAAGTGTTTTGATCCCCAGTTAGAGCAATCTATCAGTGTCCTCATTCAAGGGGAAAAAATATCACGTTTTATGGCCAAATGCATCAGTACAGGCTTATAGCACTTTATGAGACTCGTGGAGTTCCACAGGCAGCTGTGCCATAATGGCCAATTAAACTGGGTTTACAGCTGTTCTTTGAGAAGTTACTGAAGGTTATCTTTCCCTATCAGGAGTGTGTCTCACATACCTACACCTGCTTCCCTCCCTCAGCTGTAGCTTTCTTGTTATCCCTGCATCTTCTCCTTTTCCTGTGGGTAGGTCCATATTACATTTTTTGCCTCACACGTGCTATTGTTTGGAAAACAAGACAATAGACACTATAAAGACTTTTAAGCCTTAAACAAGTGTCTTCAGGAGTGAAGAGCCAGAGGCATTTGTATTTGTAGGGGAAGGAGTAACTGGTTTAGGCTGGAAGCAGAGGAAAATTTACATCAGTATTCAAAGAGAACTGACATCCAGGAGATGAACAAGAGGGATGAAACTGAAACTTCTTACTTTCATGCAAAGCTTCTTAGTTTTCATGAAAAGAAGGAAAGAACAGAGAGTCTTTTAAAGGCTCCACGAGATGGACACGTTACTGAAAGTTAGAGAACAGAAAGGAGATGGATTTTGTCTCATCTTCTATATTTTCTTTGAAGATAATGGTATTTTTGTCAAGGAGGAGAAAGGGTTAGATCGAAATGGTGAAGAGAATAGAAAGAACATTAGTTCCAACTTCAATGGAATGAAAAAATCAGGTATTGGTCGGTGCCACAGAGAAGGAGAACACAGAGATAAAGTTGTGAGTGGCAGAATTGTGTCTGAGATAAAGGCCTTCTATTTAAAAGGCTAGTTAAGTGTTGGGATAGGCTATCAAGGCAGATTAGTTGGAAACTGTTAAAAACAGATTTCTTCTCAATGGTATAGGTTATTTTACATTCTTCAGTGGAAAAAGATGGACTGGATGATTTTTTTTTTTTGCTGTCCTTTCTAGCTCTGTTATTTCTTTGTAACTCTTTTTAACTCCAGTGGCTTTGATCTGGGTGGTTGTTCACTGTGGAACGTGTCGTGAAAGTGGTGAATCTTCCAGATGCTGAAACAAAATGTGCCTCTGGAATTTATATGCTGATCAAATATATTTATACTTAATCTAGGCTTCTTCCCTCAAGCTTTTCTAAATAATCAAACCTTGTCAGATGAAATGGTTCATAGTAGTGTCTAGCAGGGCTTTCAGTCCTTTTAAATAAAATCTTAAATATCCCACAGTTGTTTGAGCTTTAGATTGAACGGTAGTCAAAAGCATGTAACTGACACAGGGTTTAATTGTTTTCATCTGTCTATTGATTAAGTGTTCAAGTGTCAGAGTCCCAGAACAGTGATATCTAACACTTCAAAGCTTAATTGAAATCTTTACACTTTTATTTTTGTAGGACCTTGATGTTGGAGCAAAGAAGGTGAAGTTATACATTGATGAGAACCTTGTATTTGAGGGTGAATTAGAGAGAGCCTCTGGAGATCTCTTTGCTGACCATAACACTACAATTGACCTTACAGATCACAAGCAAGATACCTCTGCATCTCCCTCAGGTGAAAGGAAAGAAGTAAATGCACCTGCAGTCACAGATGAGAAAGCAAACCTACATTTCAAATGCTCAGAATCAAGCAGTACTTCACTAAACTGGAAATCCCCGCCAGAAGAAAATCTTCTTAAGCATAAAATGAACTCAATCAGCTTTACAAAGAAAAATTTGCCTGAGTTAGAGGATGATCTAAAAGCATTCCCATCTCAAGTTTGTATAAAAGATGCCAGAGAGAATTCAGCAGTAGCAGCAGTTGCAGAGCACGTTCAGTCTGATGATGAACTTTCTCTGAGCGAACAAATGGAAAAGTTAACAGGGAGAAAATTGTCTGATTCCACAGGTGCACTTCCACCTTGGTTACAGTCATCTTCCCAAGTAACTGAGAACAGTCATGTTACTCCCAGTAAGCAGAAGCCTTCCTGGCTTGCTACAGAACGTAGTTTAAGCTCGAGATTTCAAACACAGTCAGATGGAATCATGAAAAACTTCTCAGACCTGCCAAATGAGGATGTCAAATGTCAGAGAAATGAACTGGGAAGACCCAGTAGTAGGAATGCAAATGGAGATGAGAGGTCACTAATGCTGGCCAAAAAGGATGGTGATGTGGGCTTAGACATTTTGGAGCAGCTTTCTAACAGGAATTGCTGCAGCTCACAGTACCCTACGAGTGGAAGGAGAAGTGTCAGATGTGGTAAAAAGCTGGGATTAAACACTATAAATCTTGGAGAAGAGGATTCTGCCCTCAAAGGTAAGAGGTCACAATAGCAACCTCAGTGCAGGTGCTGACATGTTCTCCATTTTTCAGCAGCACAAACTCATTTATAAGTGGAAGTGACCTCCTGAGATTCCTGGAAGTATAGCCAGGGGGATTTTAGTTTTGCTACTTGTGGTATTTTCCTCATTCATACTCTGATAATACTCAGAGTCTCTCTACTTGTCCCACACCTGATGTGAAATACTCTTCTGAGAAAAATTTACATTCTGATTTAGTGGATATTTATTTATTTGGAGCAGATGGAAGACTAAATTTCAGTAAATTATATTCCAAGAATTGACAGTTCCTGCAGACAGCAAATGTTTGCTAATATCAATTAATATCTGCAAAAAGATAAAGAAGAGTGTGTCCTCAAGTTAGTGAGTAAATTTACAGAATTTATTTGTGTAGTAGGTTTGTGTCTTTCTCAGTGAGAATATATTCTGAATATATTTATTCAGAGTGAGTGGAAAACTGCTCATGACTTTCACTGCTCATGACTTTACAAACCTCACCCTCAGACATCTTATTTATGAAGAGTTTTCTAGTAAATTTATCTGTTATCTGCTCCGTGCCTTTTGATTATCCTTGTCATCTTTCTCCAAACCTTTTTGAGTTCGCCTGGATCCCATTGGAAGTGGAGGATCCAGATTTGCGTGGTTATGTTGGCAGTAGCCAACAGTGTTTCCCCAGGGAAGAGTATGAGAACTGGGCAACTTCTGAAGTTCCTGCTCTCTCCCAACCTCTGGCAATCCATGGCTAAGAAACTTTCTGGGTCTGGGGTAATATTTTTGTGTTTAACAACTGTAAATACCAGAAGAATAGAATTTCTTACCCACAGGTTCTACTTTGTCTCCCTTTTAACCAACTTTGCAGGATTTATTTTTGGTCTCAGCTTTTCAGTTTCAAGCCATGTCACTCTGATTCCTGGGTTTTTGGGCTTTTCATATCCTTCTTTGGCATCCTGTAATTCTTCAGCATTCAATATCTTGTCTCAAATGAAGAGAGTCTGGCACAACAAGGACAACAGGACCCAGGGAATTGGAATAAGATGGTACAAAACTACAAATGGAAATTTTGGTTGTGATTTCGCATCAAAACAATTTGCATGAAAGTGTAGCTTGCTGGGTATTGAATTTGAGTGTTTACATTAAAGTAATGGTCATTAGGGACAGGAAATGTAACTAAATGTATTTGAAGTGCCAGTTCAAATTCTGCAGCAGGTGCTGCATGATTTTTTTCAGGCAAAGGCGAGAAAATGCTTTTTTTAAACTTAGGATGTCTGAATTTTTTGTTCTTTGACCCTCTGTGAAGAAAACAGCAATTTCATCAGTGCATCTGAAGTTATACCTCAAAGAAGAGAGAAATAGGGAAGTATTTGGAATAACTGCCATCTTCCCTTCACCCACCCACTCGCCACAGCCCTTTTGCTGTTTCACGGATTTTACGTTATCTTTGTTAGATTAAAACCTTAAAATTATGGAAACTGTAAATAAATCCCACCTTGGGAATTTCTGTTCAGTTCCAAAAATGGAAACAATGTTGGAGTTTTAATATAAGGTATAAGATGAAGGTTATCATGGATCTATACAGTGTCCTCTAATTTTGCTCAGAGCAGATTATTTCATGTGGTGCTTAAAGCTTCCGATATGTTTTTGTCCCTGGGAAAATTGCAGCCATCCAGCAGCTTTTGTTCTCTCTCCACTGTGCTGTGCAGGGTAAAACCATCTTCAAAGTGGAGCTGAGTGAGCTTTAACAACAGGGAAACGGTTTTAAGTGTTTCTGTGAGAGTGGTGGATTTTAATTGGCACAGGACTGAGGGAAGTGCAGCTTCCCAATGGAAGTGTGTGACAAAGGGAAGGCTGCAGAGCCTCCTACCAGTGTCACAGCACAGCTTTGGTCACTCAGTGAAGAATAATAAGAACAACAGAAATTAGAAATAGCACGTACATGCTTGCCTCGAGTTAATGTTGCTATAAAAACATCAATTTTTCTTTGATAACCGGTTTAATGTGCAAAGGAAATGATGGGAGTCTGCTGATAAAATTAGCAAATAACATATAATTTGGGTTATTATGAGTTAAGAAGATTGAAGAACTCGCAGAAGGATGAGCTTGAGGACTGAAGCAGTGGAATGCAATTCCATAGTACTGCTTTGCAGGCTCACTTGGGGACTAATAACCAAAAATGAAGTTGTAAGCTGAGTAATCATCAATTGCAAATGACCGAGGAAGGGAAGGATCATGGTTGAGTAGCTGATGGCAGATTGAGTGTGAAAGGCTGGTGTGACGCAGGGTGATTGGAGCAGAGCACTCCCAGGATGGATCAGCACAGGCTTTTGGGAGAGTTAGGGAAATGTTAATATCTCAGCACAGCCACTTGTGAGACGTCAGTTGGAAAACTGCAGCTCTGATCATCCATTTTCAGGAAAGCTGATTACAAAGTGGAACAGATACAGAAGAGAGCTTTTAGGATGATTTGGGAAATGAAGCATGTGATTGCAGCATGGAAATATGATTGCTATTTATAACTGCAGGGAGTAGAAAAGAGATTAACACAACAGAGGGAGAAGAAAGGTGTTTTCTTCAAGGTAGTCTTGGCCCAAAATGTAGTTTAGGAAAGTTTTGAGAGGAATTGTATGGTGTGTGTTGCCATCAGAAGCAAGATGGGGGACTTGGTGGTTGAAGACACCCATCCTAAACCCACAGAGGAGGTGGAAGTTCGAAGTGTCATTATAAAATATTACATTTTAAATTCTTAAAAAAAAAAACCAAATAGCTTCAGCCACTGGGCTCTGCTTTTGGGCTCTCTCTGCTTCCCTTTCAAAGCTTCACTTCTCCTGTTGTCACTCCTTAATGCAGCTAACAAACCTGTTAACCTCCCATTGAACTGCCTCAGAAGTGCTTTAGAATTGTAATCTCTGGGCTGTTTGAAGTACTTGACGTTTAAAAAAAAATTAACAAGGGAAGGGAAAAACTCTCCCAAACAAGGCAAGTCAATGGATGTCAAATACTCTTCTCATCCTATTCTGCTCATCCTATTCTGCTCATCCTGAAATTTTCAAGCTTTGACATTTTGAAATGATAAAGATATATACAGTGTCTTCCCCAGGTAAATTGTGAGGCTCTGGGATATACTGTTTGGGATCACCCACCTCTGGAGTGTCTGTACTGACAGTGGTTTGAGCAAGAAGGGGACTTAGAAATGACTGATGTTCTCTGAAATATGAAATTTTTCTTCATATCTACATTTCCCTTGTGGGGTAGGGAGGAAGGGCCAGGTTGGACTCTAGGGTTTCATTCTGGAAGGCAACCCTTTTCCAGGTAGTTTCCCATTTGCTTTGAAATTCTTATTTCTATCTCACGTGTCCCCACTGTAAATGATTATTTGCCACAGATAGATTAGGAACATTGCCTCTTTCCAGTGTTTCCAGAAACACAGTTAAAAGTCAGTCGGGAGCAGTCTTTTGGGAAAACATTATTTTGCATTTTACAGCAATTGGCATTTATTCTTGATAACCATTTGTTTTAGTGTCCACCCAAGGACATGGTGCAGGAGTAAAATCTGCCCCACGGGCCTGTAATTGTTTAGAACTCCACTTCCTCTTCTTCATTTATTTGAAGAAAATACATAAGTGACTGTTTTATTGAAAATCTTTGTTATTATCTGTTCTTAATTGTTTTGAGATGGAAATTAAGCAGCTCCCCAGTGCAGCCACAAGGAGAACGTGCTTTGCTCCCACTGTGTCCCTCTGATTTGTTGTCCTCACTGCATTCCCATTACATACTTTGTCACTATACCCCTCCTACATCTCACACTTGCTGAAAAGTGAGAAAAATATTTGGACATCACCTGCACAGAGTGCAACATTCACCTCATCCTCCTTATGCTGAACCTCCTTTTCTCACCACTTTTCTTTATATCCACGTGGCTGATTTTGAGAGGAAGCACCAGCTTTTCTCTGTAATGCTTTACATTAACCAGTTCAGCCATTTCCAGCTGTATGAAAGATCTGCAGAAGTGCAGACAGATGATTTAAACTGTTGTGACAGCCACACAATAAGTATCACTGGGCAAAATCCCAATTTCTTTAAGGGTTGAGTCAAGAATTCGCAGCTTAAGAGTTGCAGTTGGGATCATGGCATGTGCTGTGCTCTTGTAATAGTTAAAAGTGATTGTTTTCATTATGTCTAAATGGGGAAGAGAAACTGGGACATGGAGCCTTCATAACAGGGAGGCAATATAAAAGTGCTGCTGGAGGAGAATTTCACAGTAAGTGACACGAATAAGACCAGCAGCGTTCTGCAAAGTCCCTGTCGCAGCGGTTTGTTCCCAGTCCTGCTTCTGCATTAAATGCCTTTGTAATGTTGTTTTCAGATGAAGACTTTTCCATCAAGGACGTAGCAACCTCCAGAGCGAAGTGGTGCAGTGAACAAGAACACACTCTGCAGGAGTCCTGGAACTCCTTGGTGAAATTTAATTATTCCCATCGCGGCCGGATCTCGAACATGGATTTTCAAGGGGATATCTTTGATGAGTTCCTCCACCAACAGAAACTCAACCGCTCCGGAGAATGTCAGCAAGTGAGGAAAGAGGGACTGCAAACACTACCCAAGAGGCAAGAGGAAGAAAGTGCTGTGGAGGCACATGATGGAAATGATTTTAAAATTCCCGTTTTACCTTATGGGCAGCACTTAGTGATAGACATTCGAACAACGTGGGGAGACAGACATTATGTTGGTCTTAATGGAATTGAAGTTTTCAGTTCTAAAGGAGATCCTGTTCAGATTGCAAAAATAACAGCTGAACCACCTGATATAAATATTTTACCAGCTTATGGGAATGATCCCAGAATAATAACCAACCTAATTGATGGGGTAAATCGGACACAGGATGATATGCATCTCTGGCTGGCACCATTTACCCCTGGAAAACCTCACTTTATCTTTATTGACTTTGTGAATCCCTGTCAGGTAGCTATGATTAGGATTTGGAATTACAATAAATCTCGAATCCACTCTTTCAGAGGTGTGAAAGACATTATCATGCTGTTAGATGAACAATGCATCTTTAAAGGAGAAATTGCAAAGGCCTCAGGAACGTTGTCTGGAGGTATTCTATCATTTCTTATTTTCTTTGTGGGAACAGCAGTACAATGCAAACAAATGCATTTCACTTGTTTGTTATCGCCTTCCACTTCAAAGCAAGCTGGCACTTTGTCTAGTATTGAATTTAAAAACATAATGCAAAGCCCACTAATGCATTCTTCACTGATAGTGTGGATTTTAGCAGCACACAGAGCTAATCTCCATTCTTAACCATGCTTTAGCATCGTGTCTGTATTTCAATAATATCAAATGGTCATGAGAAATTTAAAAGTTTCAGCTTTTTACTTTTTTTCACATGTAATATCTTTTGGAAAAGGTGATGGAGAAGCTTTTTTCCCCATTGTCTTTCCTATGTGTTCAAAATTTGACTGAATTCTCTAGTTTTTTTCTGCTGTGCAGTGTAAGTTTAAAAATGAAATACTGATTACAGCAGCATCAGTATCAATTGACCAGAAATTAATAAATCAATATAGCAATCAGTATCAATGTACCAGAAATTATTTTTAAACGATTTTTTGCAAATTAAATGTAAAGAAGGACCAAAAATAATTTTTAGCACTCTCTATATTCTTTTGTATTATTTATCCATTTAATTCTGTGTGTTGCCTTCAGCTCCAGAGCACTTTGGGGACACTATATTGTTCACTACTGATGATGATATTCTTGAAGCTATATACTGCTGTGATGAGACATATGATGGAGAAATGGAAAATGCCAGCTCCTTGAGATATGAGGAAGAGCTAAAGAGGCCAACAACTGCTGACAGGGAGGGAGATGAAAGACCTTTTACACAAGCAGGTTTGAGAACAGAAGATCAACAGGTAGGGCCTTCTCTGTTCAGAACTCTCCATAAATGTCTTTCTGAAACATGACATGGAAGTAGTAGACACATTTCTATGGTGGGGTAAAACTCTGCAGAAGAACTAATACAATTAGGACTATTTTGAAGATTTTTTTTTTGACCAGCTCAATAATTTAAGTGATATTTTAAATCCCTAAAGGTCCTCCAAATTTTGGTTTCCCTGACTCTTTAACAAACCTACAAGGAAATCTATACTAGATTTTTTTTTCTTTACTTACTTGGGCAGAGATTATAGGGAGTTCTTTTTGATTTAGGTACTCCTGAAGGTTTGTGCACTGGCAGTGATACATACAGTTATTCATATAATGAGTAGCTGTCGTCCTTTTCACTCCAAACCAAAGATTTTTCCATATTTTCTGCACAGATTATACTCTTGCTGGTTTCTTCCTCCACAAATTAAGTATCTTAAACGAAAAGAATCTCTTCCTGTCCACCCTTCCCTTATTTTCCCTCTCTGTATTTTTTTGGTTAGCATCTCCACAGATTTGTCTGCATTTTGCAGCACAAGAAATGCCTCTTTTCCACGTGGTTGGTATTTTACTCCTTGAAGGAAAGATGTGTTTTCAAGCACTGGGGTCTTGCCTTATACCATTCCAGCCCAGTGTCTGAGCAAAGGTCCTGCAAGGTTTTCTCATGATGGTGTGGGACAGACTTTGACCTGATTTCCTTAAATATTCTACCTTCTCAGAATCTTCTTGAGCACTTACTGTTGCATCAGTGAGGTTCTCTTTTTTCTAGGGGACACACTTGTGGGTCTGTGAGGAGATCCAAATTCCAGCTGGTTCAGCTGAACTGCTCCCAGCGATATGTGGTTCCTAATGAGCCTTGTGTGGTTTTCAAGCCTTCTCATTCTGTCTTGTCCTCTTTTTCTTTGGCTTACAAGACAAAGGGAAATAAAATGACATTGGAATTTGATGTCACTGTTAGAATCATGAGTCAGTGTCTCTAACCCTTGGACTTCTTCATTAATTTTGGTCCCATCTTTGCTTGTGATGTCTTAAACTGTTGAGATGCCTTTTGCAGTGCAGGATTTCATGACCACAAATTGAAGTTCACCTTTCTTTTTTTGATCACTTGTTTATTGTGAGCATTCATCAGGACCTCTTCCATGGCAGAAGCCTGGGCCTGGACTGTCTGGCCCTTACTCAGAGTCTCTGCCTTTCATTTTGCTGTGATGCCCTTCATCCCCCTGTTCTAACTCTCAAATGTGCTGCATCAGCAGTGGAATAACAAATGCTGTTGTGACTGAACCATTGATCTCCCTGTCACTGTATGTTTGCTGATTTTTGTGGAGGGATGCTTATGCTACCAGAATGATACAGATCTGCTGGGCAATTTGTCTTCCCCAGCACAACGTTGTCAGACCAGTATTGGGTTTGAACAGTCTGTACTGTTGGTCATTCTCTGTTCAGTAGGTGAAAGGGTGTTTTACTGCACTGCCTACAAAACTTTTCAAAAGCTCTTACAGAAGTGTCTTACTTTCATGTTGGTGTTATCTGTGGTCATCTGTCAGTCCCATGAGTTCAGGAACCTTTAACATGTTGACTTTTCCAGCAGATCAGACCTGTGCCAAGTGCACTTGATTCAGCTCTGTGGGTGCTTGGGGAGAATGTAAGAATAGCACAGACATGCAGTGGTGTTTGTCTAAAACACTCATCCAGCCCTTAGAAGTGTGTATCACAAGGACTTCTTCACTTAACCTTTGTGTTTAGTATCCTGCTGCAGATTTTTGTTGCATTAATTCATCTCCTAGCTTTCTGAACCCATGTGCACTTTTACAATTTACAGTGCTCTATGGCAAGTTTCCCAGCAAAGAACCTCTTTCTGTTTGTCTCTAGGTTCCTTTAATGTCCTCTAGTTTTTGTATTGGAAGAAACTAAACAATTATTCCCCATCCTCTTCTTTGAGCCACTCAAGAGATTTATACCCCTGTGTTACAGTCTTCTAAATCTTTTTTTCCAGAATGGTTAGTTCACCTTTAGTTATTCCTCACAAGGATGGTGCTGTACAGTATGGTCAGGAGGAGGACCATAGTAATACTTCCTAGTTTTTATTGCTTTTCCAATAACTCCTGTACTGTGGTGCTGTTTTGTTTTAGCCATAAGAATCTAAGAACACAGGTAGGACAATGCTCACAAGCAGAAGTAGTTGGAATAGCAGAAAATTAGAGCATGTCTGAAAGAAAATATAGTGGGCACCAGTGGAATAAGGGATCTGAGTAGACAAGAAAGGGAGAAAAGAGGTGATAATGTGGCTGGCACAGATGGTTTATGGTCTACAAGGGAGGGCATTATTTTGCAGTCTATAAACCCAGTAACTTTACTATGCCCATGGGCTTTGATTTTCAGTAAAGTTACAAATTTTAATTCCCAGGCTGGTCTTTTAAAGTTGTTCTAAGGAAGAGGCATCAGATATCAAAGACAGAGTGACTGTTTTGCATGAAAAGCCCCCAATAGGAAGGGTTTTCCACCTTCTGTAGGTTCCTTGTGTGTGGGTATTTATTTCAGTGCACAAATCTTGTCCCGTTTCACCTGAATTACCTTAATTACCACAGGGACATTTGCTACCACATGAAGGATATTGCAGTCTGGGAAGAGACATCTGACATCCAGGATGTCAGTGGTTATACTGCAGAGATCTGATGGAACAGTAGGAGAACAGTGATGACAAGTCTTTAATTTATTTTTAGGCACAATGTAGGTCCATTTGATGTATTCTGGATGACAGGAAGTTTACTTCTAATGATAAATTAAACTGTAGAGAAGTCTGGACTTCCAATTTCCTGTTTGACTTTTTGACTACTAATGAGGATTGAGCTGATATTTTTATAGAGCTACTCATAAAAATGCCAAGATGTCATTCTAATCTGCTTTATTAATTTTGGAGCCCAATACTGGTGTATGTAAAGTATCTGCAACCCACTGCCATTTTTCTTTGTCTTTACCACCCTGATTGCCCCAGTATGATCAGCAGGTCTTGCCATCTGTTTATTCCCTCTCTGGTTTGCTGTGCTGAATAGCACAGGCTCTTTTTCATTAGCCTTGTCAGAGAACAAGCACAAGCTTTGGGGCAAGTTTGCTTATTTGTTCTGCCTCTTAGTTCTTGAGAAAGAATTGTGGTGGCACTCTCTGGTCTTGACTTCTTTCCAGACTTCTTGTCTCTGCAATGCATTTGCAACATATTGCAAATACAGCATATTGTCATTTGCTAATAGCAGTCTGCAGGTAAATAAGAATGACTTAGAGAATTTCAGCCTCTTTGAGAATAGGTATTTCACAGTAGAGAGTCTCCTATTCAACATTTCTGTATGAACTAACCAAAAGACCTCACCCTAACAGTCTTGATTTTCTAAGGATCCATATGATCTTTTACACATTGGAGCCTGTTTTCCATTATTAGCAGGACAGCCAGGGTGGGGAGGCAAAGGGGAGATGGATATGTAAAAGGCTGGATGTATTGAAAACCAAAGGAACAGACATAAAAACTCTATAAACAATGCCTGTAATGTATGTATAATATTGCACCTGTTGACTTTCTTTTTAGGTTCTAGAGCCAGACTCTTTCTCTGAATGTACACCTAAGGAGACAGGAATATTTACTGGAAAATGTAAGTTCTTACACTTCTTCCTTAACCACCTTGTGGTCAAACATATTATCAAGGAGGACCTGATTTGTCAGAGCTGAACAGAACTTTGTGACAGATGTCAGGTCTAGAATAAAGAAGAGAAATTGAATATTTAAGGCAGAAGCTTTGTTTACTATGGCATTTACAAAATTATATCGTAACAGTTGGCTTTTAATCTCAGAAAAATAACATTAGCCATTTGCCTAGTCCCTGAATGGGATTTCTAATAGCTGTGGCCCTTACCCAGTAATTCTCTCCCAATCCTGTGTATTTCTGTAGACTGACTGAATTTTTCAGATTGGATTGACAGTAGAAACCCCACAGTAGAGCTGGATCACAATGTTATATCCATGCTTAAAGTACCTGTTTCCTTTATCCTGTACAAACCCAACTCTCTGTGGGCTTTTAAATTGTTATCCAGGGAGCTTCTGGATGGCCCAAAAGCTTCAGGATCAGCTCCTGGTTCTTTGACAAGAATTTCCAGTGGGGTGTTAGGAAATCTTTTTCACCCTGGGGACAGTCAGACTCAGGAATAGGGATTGAGAGAGGGTCTGAAATCTGCCAGCCTTGGAGACGTGCAGACTTCCTTGGGATAAGCTCCTTGGAGACCTGATCTAATGGACATGCCCTGAGCTTGGAGGTGGATTAGACATCTCCAGAGGTCCTTTTCCCCCTGCATCATCCTCAGATTCTCTGAAGGCATTGCCATGGTGAAGTGAACACTAAACCCTGTGTGAATGGCTGCTCCTCCCTGGCTTTTCCATGGGAAAATATATTCTGATTTTTCCTGAGATGTAGTAAAAAAAACTTGCTAGTAAAAGCAAGCAAAAAAAACATGCTTGAACCTTGAGCAATTTTAGTTTTAGCAATGGTCTTGGGAATAGCATCTAATATCAACGTAGCCAAATTTGTCAGCTAACAGAACTATTTATTTCTTTGTGTCCTTGCAAATGCTAATGAGATCTTACACCCAAGGGAATTTATGTGTATATCAAGACTTGCTATAGCTATTTAAAGGTATTTGGGCTGGATGGCTTAATAGGTTTAATGCTTGTTTGTTTTTCAGGACACCATGACTACTGGTGCTTCTTTAGACACTATCCAACCTGATTAGTTGTGGGTTTCTGTCGTATGTGAAATGAAAAATATCTTTAATTTACAGTGATGGATTTTTTTGTGGAACCTGATCAGACTGAAATATTACTTGTTATATCTGTATATGCTATTTCTGGTTTTTTTTCAGTAAGGTATAAAACAGGTGGATCTGAAGATACATATACAACCTTTTGTTTGTTCAGTTTTTCTTTCCTATTTATTTTCCAGAGATGTAGGCTAATCATTAATTAATAATATTAATATTGCTGCTTTTCACTGATGCTGTCCCATTAAAATACTTCTGTGTGTCCAGTTCTGATGTGAAGGTAGTAACTTAAAAACATAAGCAAAGCAAATTTGTGTTTTGCTTTAACTCTGAGTTGGTTTCTCCAGCAATTTATGGGATTATGAGAGGCTGGATTTATATGAACATATATAGTCATTTAGCTGGTGAAAGATGATGGATAGACTTCAGACTAATCTGTCTTCTCTGTGTCTGCATAATCACAAAATCTGTCATGTAACTGCTTAAATGTGTCATTGAGTTGCTGTCAGTCTGCAATCACAGTAATGAGACACTTGGTAATGTACTTGATCAGGAGCTGGGTAGTTAAAAGTGAACAAGGTGTTGGCAGCCCACTACAGGGGCTAATACAGGCCAGGAAATATCCAAATCCAGCATATAAAGTGATTTAATCTCTACAAAATATACGTGCTCCTGACCATGGCTCCTTACTTCAAACCAGATAAATTATATGTATGTTCTGTTATACAGGCCTGCAGCTGAATTTTACCATGACCTGGGGAGACTCCCATTACCTTGGACTGACAGGACTTGAGGTGATAGGAAAGAATGGTCAAGCACTAAAAATCAGCACAGAACAGATTTCTGCTTCACCCCAAGACTTAAATGATCTTCCAGAGTACACAGGAGATTCCAGAACGTTGGAAAAGTAAGTAAGGAAAGACTTGGATGCATTTTACATCAGATTTGATAAAGTGACAGAATTATATAAGCTTCTATTATGCTAACACATGGTAATGCAAATATGATTTTCATCCCATCACTGCTCATTCTTGGAATTCACAAGCTGCCCAGGAACAGCTTGTTGTAGAAACATGAATGAGATGTTTCCAAAAGTTGGTGTTTGAGTTAGGAGATGGTAACAGGCCTGGTTGGTATTTCTGCCAAGGACTTTCCAGGAAGAAATGTGGGTGTTCTGAAGCATCTGTCTGTGCATATTCACTGATATTTATGCAGGATTTCTGGATAACTTCAAGGAAAATTTTCAACTTAGCAAAGAGTGAGGATGTGTTTGGGAATTGCACAAATAGGTGCCATTCTTTTGGCAATTTTTACAGCTTTTTTTTTTGTAATTTTAATGAAGTTTTATTCATTGACAAGTATATTTCCTCAAATTAACTCGTACTTCCTAAATGGCAGCAGTATAGAAATCACAAGCTGTAGATCTGGAGAGGACTTGGCATTTGGTTGTTATTGAAGCTGCATCCTGTTGTTTCTGAGTCATATCTCCATTTTAAAGGGTATTTTCAGTTGCAGTCCTCTGCTCTGGCATGTTTATGGTCTGTGACTGGGTTTATGAATTAGGGCTTTTCAAAGTCTCTGTAGAGTCTTCCTTAGAATTTTGTATTTATTTACATGTGCACTAACTCTGTTATTTGTAATTTCTGCTAATCTGACTAATGCAGATATCAAATTTACTTGTATATAATTACTTGTTTCTTCTGCCTATTTGTGTGAAAATCTCATCTGTAGGCACCAAGATCTAAGAAATTTTCCCTGATGTATTTTAGGAATTTTATTTATGGTGCCTTTTCCTTGCCAGCTTTCCTACCGTTTTTTGGCCTGTGCACACACATTTAACCTTCCAGAGTTTACAATCCTATCAATTTAGGGGTTTTTTGATCATTAATTTTGTTGAAAGATGGCTTTTAATAAATTTGTTTATCCTACTACTGAGCCAGGCTGCCTTTGAGTTTGCAAGTCCTCCCTCTTTCTGATGTCTTTCTTAGTAAGTGAGATACATTTTTAAATCTTTCTTTTACATACTGGATTGTTTTGCTTAAGAACTTCTTTGGGCACAAGAAATAGAGGCTTTTTTTGGCTTCTGGTATTTCTGGAAGCATGTTGAATTTGAGTACACTACAGTGCTCTTCATCTGTGGCATTTGGAATAAGTCCTGTGTGCTCTTCAAGTCAAGAATTATGTCTTCTCTCATGGACTCCCTAATCAGCTCTTCTGTGAAAGAGTCATTATTCAAATCTTTTTCTTTAAGGAACTGCCAAGTCTGGCACTCATTCTTCCATTAAACTTTTAAATAAATATTAAGTATATAGTTAGTTTTTTGGGCAGTGTACCAAAGTAATTACAGTGGACAATTAATTCATATTCATTACTCCATCTTTGTGTGCCATAGTTTGCAGTAGGAGAATATAAAGTCAGGATTCCAAAAATGAGGAAATAACAGATTTAACTTTATCTAGCCAGCCTGAAGTCTGTGCTGTTAGGAAGAGACATTGTCCTGCTGGTAGGAAGCTTTCTAAAAAAAGTAGGGATGTGGCTGACTGTGGGCATGAAGAAGGACATGAGCAAACTCTGGCTTTGCTCAGGGTTATCCAGCTGCCATCCAGTTCCTTGTTGGATTCAGTAGAGTTGTGTTGGCATAGTAACACACTGCAGAGTGCCAGACAGACTAGTGTAGGCATGGAACTATATTAATAAATTACATTGTGCCTGGGCCTTAGAGTTTTGACTTCAGCTACAAAGGCAGTCGAGCTTTCCTCTGCCCACCCCTGTTCACACAGGGAAAACCTATGGATTTTGCTGGTTTTCCTCAAACAGACCCAGCTAAAGAAAATACTGTTTTTTCTCCCCCCACTGTCTTTAATTCAATAATTGCTTGTTATTCTTGATGCTTACTGTGCTTTTTAATTCATGCACATGGGCACAAGAAGCCCTGGAAGCTGAAAGTGGCATTAGAATGAATTGAACATCTAGTAAAGTCACTGCTTTCCATGAGAGAAGCCAGCTTCTCCCTTCCTGCAGCTAATGGATTTTTCTCTTTGTAGGTTAATAGATGGGACTAATATCACAGTAGAGGATGACCATATGTGGCTCATTCCTTTCTCTTTTGGAGAAGATCATCTGCTCACAATCCATTTTGATAAAATTGAAAGTATCGCAGGGCTTCGCTTTTGGAACTATAATAAATCTCCAGAGGATACCTACAGAGGGGTAAGTAAAAGAAAAGGAGCACTGCCAGCAAAAATATACAGCAATGCATTGGAAAATTGGTACTGTGATGAATGAATATAGCTGCCTTAATGGAACACCATAAATCTCTCTAGATTGTCTGAGTCTGAATTTTGTGGCAGGTATAATGCATTCCTGTCTCCACAAACAGCACACATTGAAAAAAAAGCCAGAGATACTTTAAAGAAATCTTCAAAGCTGATTTTTCTAAGAGACACATACAATACCACATATTATTTTCAAGATATATGATTCTCAAGAGGTATCCTCTCAATAGCTAATATTTAGACCTACCATACGATCCTATGTTTCCTGGAATACAGGGAATGATATAAGAGGGAAACTTTTCCCACAGAAATTCTGTTTAGTTAAGTTTCAGAAGGCCATTCAATACTGCCTTTTCCAAGAAGCAAGAAGAGTCACTTGAACCCTGAACTGGGAAAGCTGATATCTTTAAACAGTTTGCTAAAATAGTTTAGCTAAAAATGTATAACATACCTCCTCTCTTCTTTTTCCAGATTTGTTTGGTTTATATTTGTTTTGTTCATACTGCATTATTGGAAGTGACTGGCAATTGGCACCTTTTGGAGATAATTTTCCACCTTGTTGGCAATCTGAGTTTGGCTGTCCCTCATTTCTCTGCTGTATTTGCACTTGCAGTGATAATGAAATGGTAGCTGCTGTTCACTGCACGGAAAGTTTATGAATCCATTTGTTTCCAGACCTCCCCTTTTACGTAGAACTGTTGCATTCTTGATGTCCAAATTCAGTCAATAGATAAGAAGAAAAACGTTGATTTGTATTAAACTGAGAGACAGGACAAAAAGGATCAGCAAAGTTCTGGGAAAAAAATCTGCAACTGAAATTGGAGGCCTGGAACATTCATAGGATTGGGCAAGATAGTGGCAAAGTTACACAACTGTGTCTTTGTGTAAATTTACCTTCCAGGAGTTGCTTTAATGTGAGCACTGCCTGGCATCTTTTACTATCAGCATGGGGGCTCTTGGTGCTAAAGACTCCCAGAAGGCCAGAGCATAAGATCTTTCAATTAAAGCACAATTGATCTGGAGATTTCAACATATGGCACCTCATTTTGTGCCATGTTGCATTAACCCAGCATGTTTGACACGTGGGAGGGTTCTGGAGCATTTTGAGCTTCCCATCTCAATATACCCCCTGTATAAATTAGGGGTTTTGGTGACATTTGTGTCCTGATTTCAGCTGGGATAGAGTTAGTTTTCTTGCTGGGATCTGTGTTTTGGATTTAGGGTGAGGATAATGTTGAGAACACACTGATGTTGTTGCTGAGCAGTGCTTACTAAATCTCTAAAATCTAACGTGGAATTTGGTCTTTGGAGGCCAAACCAAGAAGAAAAAGGAAGAAAGGTATATTTTCAGCACTTTGCTTGGCTAGGTAGGAAAAAGAAGTGAGTGTGATACAGGTGTCCACCTGCAAGCCTACTGAAAGTCCCATAACAGTTAGTGGGTGCAATTAAAAGGATTACAATCTAGAGTGGGTACAATTTAAAAAGATAAAATAACTGCAGTCCTGTAAAAGGATAAAATAAATGATTTGGAAAACTGAAAATGCAAGATATTGGCTGGGTCACAGTAAAGAGGCTTTAGGCTGTAAACCTGGGGCATCATGACATCTGTCTCTTGAAGTGTTGCTGTTCCTTCTAAGAAAGAGTCCCTGGGCATGAGATATGATGATATTCTAGGCAGCTGCAGGCTGCTGGATTCTATTCACAGCTTTAGTGTGAGAGGGTAATGGCAGGGAACTGTCAGAATGAAGACTTGGGTGCTATTTCCAGCTCTGTGAAAAATCACCTTGTGAAAGCTTTGTTATGCCATTTGTAAAATGCAATATGTGACGGCTGAGTGCCTCCTCAGATGATGAGAATTACTTAGGAATGAGAGCGGGAAAGGGCACATAAATATGAGCAGCTGTGGTATAATAGGTAAGATTTCATCTCTGAGGCTCCAGACTTCCCATTCACGACGTGTGTCCGTTTGGGAAAGTGTATTTCAGTGGGTTTTTCACTTCCCCTCCTTATCCTGGCAGACTTATTCAGCTCGAAAGTAGCACACAGAGTTTCTGATATGAAAAGGATATTCCCTTTCTTTGCTCCCGAGTGTATTAAAGATGAGAGCAGAAATACTTATTTCTCCATGCTTTGTAGTCACACAAACATTCCTTCCTAATTAATCTTCAGGCTGTTTGGAAATGAACTGAACACCTCCTCTAGTCTAGTAAAATACCCGAGGTTTTCAAATCAAGAAAAAAAAAAATCTTCCTGAAGATTAGTTGCTTTTGGGATGTTGCATGTAGTTATAATTGAATAAAACATCCCTTACAAATGGAAAAAAGGTGAGAACTGTTATGAATATCGGGTCACTGATAATATACAGGACTAGCAGAATGCTCAGAATATGTTAAAATTCTTAGACACCTGAAATGTGAATTTTAACTATAAATATTGCATATATATTTTTAATGGATCCTAATAATGAAAATATTTGCATACAAGCCTAAGTTAACCTCAAATCATCTTTTATATATTGGGCAGCGTGAAATCCAAAGATAAGAAAACTTACCTTTAGACTAAATTAAGTTTTCTGTTAACTAAATGAATCTATTTTGGTGCAGTCCATTAATCAGCAGGCTTGATTTGTAGTGCCAGTTATAAGGGCACATTGTTACATTTTACAGGTGTTATTCCTTCCAGACTGGTACTTAGTGAAAGACTCAGGGCAATAAATGCTGCTTATGACTAAGTTACATTTAACGTATTTCAGGGCAAGATGAAGTGATTAATTGTTGCTGCATGATTGAATTGTTCTGTGACTGGGATCGTGGACACAACACCAGATGGTGCTGATGGGGGAGGGTGAAGGGGCCAGGGCTCCTGCATCATTTGAATAAATATGACTGAATTATTCAGCTTAATCTTCAGAGCTTGTATAAGACGTGTTTGCATCTATGATGTGGACACAGCTCAATTCTTTTTGTCTGGTGCAGGTACCTTTTCTTTATTCATATGCCCTTAGGTTACACACAGCACTGCTTGGCAGATGAGTTTGCATGATCCTGGAAAAGTCCAAGTGCCACCTGCCACAAAGATGAAAAGCCCTGGGTGAAATACAGGTTTCTGTAAATGCAACAGAGCCACAAAAGGCTGCTCTGGAGAGAGCACCACGCTGTGGGATTTCTGGAAGGGTGGCTCCAGCCAGGGCTGAGCAATCAGGCCTAACCCAGCAGTGCATTCAGGTGCATGATGAGTCTACTGTCTCCTAAGATCACCTTTGTGACATGTGCTGGCTGAAAAGCTGAGTTTTTCCATTCTGATCACGTGTGCAAATGTTGCTGCAGGCTCAGGAATCACAATTGTTTAGGTTGGAAAAGATTGAGGTCATAGAGTCCACCTGTAAATCCAGCACTGCCAGTCCCACCACTAAACCACATCCCCAAGTGCTTCATTTACACATCTTTTAAATCCTGCCAGAGATTGGGACTCCCTCACTTCCCTTGGTGGCCTGTTCCAGTCTGTGAAGGGAAGCTTCAGTTTGCTGAGATCTAGTCAGATGCAGTGACTGAAGCATCTGTAAATACATTTTTTTTTATATGTTTCCCCCCCCAAATCCTCACCTCTCCCATCCCCATCAATGTCAGTGATGACACTGAATTGCACACTGAGGGTTGACACTGGTATCTGCTGGTTTAGGCTTTCTTTTGCCAAAGGATGTCACACTATACAGGGGTGAAATAAAAACAGCAAAATAACTGAAATTGTTTCAGCCTCTGAAGTGAATGCAATTGTTTGCAATCTATTTTAATTTGTGTCATGTCACGTAAACTCATGTTCTGTTGTTTTAAACAAGGCCAAGGTGGTCCATGTGTTGCTGGATGGGCACAACATCTCCCCACCAGAGGGGTTCCTCATCCGCAAGGGACCAGGAAATTGCCACTTTGACTTTGCCCAAGAGATTCTCTTTCTTGACTATCTGCAGCCCCAGCCAACTAATAAAGTGCACAGGAGGTAAAGTAGGATGTTTCTGTTGTCTGAACCACGTGATTTCTCTTCACTGTTTTGCTGTTCTTCCCTATTCTCTGTCAGTGCCAATTGTACGAGACACCTGGATGAAAATATGGAGCACTTAGAGCAGAGTGTTTAATTGGGTCTTAATTATAAACTGTTACCCAGATTTTATTGAGATCAGAGGACAGTCTAGTCCATAATTGCAGGTGGAGGGGCCAGGGGGGCTGTTTGTGGAGGCTTAGTCCTTTGGGTTTGTTCTCTTCTTTTCTGAATGAGCCAATGGTACATAAAGAAACAGTTTGACTTGTTTTTTTTTGGCAGGACTGGGTCAAAGAGAATGGAACAAGCCAGCATGGACTATGAAGCACCCTTAATGCCATGTGGTTGTATCCTCCTCTGTCATTTTCTTACTTGTCATAGAGAATATTTTAAGAGTTATATGCTATGGTTATGAGTCCTGAGCTTTTTGAATCCAACAATTTCTAATGCTTTAAGAAGTTAACAGGATACCAAGAACATGAGAAAGGCTTGCATTAAGTATGACTTAGGAATAAATAAATGGAACATAATAGTGGCCTGTGTGGCCTGTTTTCAGATACTCTGATAGCTTTTTCTCCTGAACTGCAAATAAGAGTGTTGGACATGGAGATGTGGGCTGCACAATACTTTTTCAAACTGCAAATTAAATAGTCTGTTAGGACAAAGTAACAGTACTGAAATTTTCCTTAACAGCATTTTGCTTTTTAGTTGTTTTCCAGTTTCAGCTCCTGACAAGCTGGGGTGATCCATACTACATTGGTTTGAATGGACTGGAGTTGTTCAATGAACATGGAGACCAAATCTTACTAACTGAGAACAGTATCCTTTTCACACCAAGCACTTCTGTCCCTGTGGACACACAGTTTGCTCCCTTCAGATTTTCATATCTTCTTCCATTTCCAGGTTCTCCTGTGTGATTAACTCTGCTTCTATTTCTCTCTATTTGTATGATGAATGTTGTTTCTGTATGTCTTTATGTATTCCATACAGTTTCAGAAAAGTATATACTTGGGATGCACCAGTAAAGCAGGATAAGGTTAGAGAAGGGAAGGCTTAAGAAGGACATGGTATTTTTTGCTGTTGACATTTATTTCTTCTGAGGAATGGAAGGACCAGAAAGTTTGCTGAGCTAAATTCACAAGAAAAAGTTGAGCTCGGTGCCTTTTTTTGTGGAAGCTTTCACTGGGCCCCAGGAAAGAAATTTTTCATAGCTCTTGTTCTGGAGATTTAGGCTGTTCTAGAAACCTGATCCAGTCATGAAGATCAGGGCTGAGGGTTTGAATTTGGTTCAGTGTTCCCTGGATAACCAACATAGGGAATGAAGGGCATGTTTGTGAGACTGGCAGTCATCAAGGTGACACTTCCATGCTCTGTCCCAGCATACAATTCACATACAATACCCAACATACAATTCACATGGTTCACTTACGTGGCAGAAACACTTCTTAGACAACTAGAAAGAATAAATAGCACAAATGCTGCATGAATTGTATGTCTCTAAGGATCCTCATTGCCTAAGAAATAGCAGATACAGTGAAAAGGCAATAGAGGCTTTTTCCCAGTTTTTGTTTGTATCTTGTGTGTTACATGATGGACTTGAAACATTTGTAATGGACAAGAAGCATTTTGAAATTGAGAAGTGATAACAAATCGGTTTTAAGAGCAAGGGATCTTTAACTTAGCTGGGATGGCTTTACAGTGCAAACCAGTGCCAGGTAAAGAACCTTCAGCTCATTTTGAATGATCTCCTGCTCCTGCCTGTACAGTGGTGTTGATGGGATGTATTGGGATCCTAAAAAAGCATATTTATCTTAGTGCAGTACTTAATGTGATAATTCACTCCTGAGTCTGGAGCTTTTCTTAAACACTTGAGGCATTGCTGTGTTATTCCAGAAATTCTTTATAAATAGTTAGAGACTCAGGCCTTTTAGAAAACAGGACAAAAGGGAAATTAATATCCCTCAAACTGGATTGCTCAGGATTTATAACGCTGAAGACAGTGCCATCCATCCACATTTCTTTGTCTTTAACATACATGTCTTTAACATACGTATGTTTTTAATGTAAATATTCTCTTACAGAGAAAATCTGGTTGCCTGTTCAGTGGGAGGTTTAATCTTTCCCTCTCAAAGAGCTGATAAAAGGTCTTATTAGACAGTTACTGATTTTTACCACAAACCTTGAGAAACCCAAGCAAACCCTAGTCTGGTGGCTACCTCCTGCAAGGATACTTACCTTGAGATAGGTTTGATATGAGGAGTTTTCACAAGCTTATCATAAAAAATGGGGCTTTGTCACCAAAGAGCTGAGATATGCCTGTTCCTGATGACATAACTTTTATTGATGAAGTCATCAATAATTTGAAAATAAACTAAATAGTGAATTTATTCCTATTTTAAAAATAAATTGGAGTGCCAGAGTCTTTAAGGGTTGTCCTGCTTTTAAAAATGTGCCCCCACGCTACTTATGTGAAGCACTTGGAGCACTGTTGTCATGGTGAATACTCAGCCATGGAGTTGGGGACAGCAAGCATGAACCTTTAAATGTGGTGTTTCTGAAGTGCTGCTTTCAGTTATTTACACTTAAAGCTTTTTTTCAGACATTGCTGCTTTTCCAGACAGTGTCAACATTTTGGAAGATGTGTCTGGAGACATCCGAACTCCAGACAAACTCATTGACAGAGTCAATGACACCACTGATGGCAGACACATGTGGCTGACACCAGTTCTGCCTGGCTTGGTACATTTTTCCCTTTCCATTCTGTTTTAGTGATGTGTGTGGATGTAGCTGGAAGCATAGAGGGAAGGGGAAACATGCATAATTTGTAGGTGAACTTGATATTAGTAACTGATATTAAATCACTGCTTTTTAGAAGAAGTGCTTTTTATTCCAGCTTCTCTCCACTGCTCAGGCAGCAGCAATAGAGGTTTCTCAGGTTTGTAATTCCTGTCTCCATGGTGCAACAGCAGAATTTCCAAGGCTGGTAGATGGTTTTTGAGTTATTATGATGAAGATAATGACAGAGGAGCTTAATGTGTGTATTTTGTGCAATAAACACCTTTCAAACTGGAGTGAACCGAGATCTTAAATTCATTTTTACAAAATGCAGTGAATGTTGTTCCAGCAGTAAGAATTATATTTAATCTCGTTTCCTGTGTTGAATTCAAATCCATAGATTATGGATGGCAGACTTAAGTATTTCATGTCCTAAGGCCACAAGTGATTCAGCCCTTTTAGTAGTCCCATGTTTAGATATGGGATATCAAATATCTAAACAGGAAAAGCAGATAAATTTCGATAAGTTCTGACCTTGTTTTGGGAGAGGACATTTTTTATGGGCCTGTTATGGACATCATTAAGCTGTGTTTATTTCTTAGGAGAGGATGGATTTGAAAACAGAACAAAATGTAAACCTGACGTGATACATTATAACTGTGTTGGGAAAATTCTTACTCCGTTATTAATTGGAATTTTAAAAGCACAGAATTAAGCCAATTTTTATCATGATATGTTGTAATGCAATGGGTGTAATAAGATAAAGTTTTTAAGTATACTTGGGAATAGTGACCACTTGCCTTTCCTAGGAAAGTGGACGGTCTGTGTAATGCTTGAGGGTCCTACTGTGTAGATCTCACATTGTGAATCCTGGTAATTTGCTGGGATGCTCAGATATCCATCATAATGTGACGAATGATTGATCTGACAGCCAGCTGAGTTTGCTCCTGTCCTTACAAAAGCCATGCTTGCAGAGGCTGTTTCACTGGGGCAGAAAGGGAAATAACAGTCCCTGGAGTTCTGGCAGAGAAGCCGACGCTGCTTTGTGTTGCTCTGTCTGACACCAAAGTACTGCAGAAGAACATAAAATACCAGTATTAAAGGGTAAATTGATAATGTGTGAAATGCAGGAGGCAGAAGCAATTTAATGGTGCTTTCTGTCCTTGAACTGTAGCAAATTACACCTTTTTAAGACCCACAGAGTACTTTTCTCTCCTCCATCTTCCCTGGGATGGTTGTTCAGCCAGGAAGTACAACTGGATTAAGCAATCAGGCTGTTGATGCTCAGCCTCTGTAGCTGGGCTGCTGAACCAAAGCCTGTGTGTCCTCACATCCTCAGTGCTGGGCTGCTCCAAAACACTCTGGCTGCCTGGAGAGCTGCATTAACTCTTTGCTATATAGGAAGGCTCACAAGCTTGAAGAAAATTTATGTTACAGCTTTTCTACATGTCTTTTTCTTTCTGATTCTAAAAGTGGTTTTGCCTTTTGCAAGTTTGTTATTAATTAAGTAGAATTTGAATGCTTTGTTCCCCTGTTACTGATTGTCATTTTATTTATTTGTTTCAATGGATTTTTTAATCAAATTTATCATTCACTGTGGGACTAACAATTGCTGTTGGAGACTATGCCCCAGTTGTGTTGTGGAAAAGCATAGATACAAACATTACTATTGTTCTCATTTACCTTTCTTTCTTCAGTAAAAAAAAAAAAAGCATAATGATTTAATATATCTTATGATATCTCCTCTAATACATCAAAGGATTAAAACTTCAGAGGATGCTAAAGATGAAGCTTAAGATATGTTGATCCAAAGTTGATATAGTGGCTCATAAAAGGAATAGCACAGAATTAACTGTAACAGGCAAGATTGGTTTCCTACAGGCTAATCTTTGGCTTTAACATCTTGGCATTAGTGTCACTGAAAGTAAAGTGAATAATACATCAAGCAATAATTGTTTAGGAAGCATCTGGAGAATTATCTCTACATTCCACTTAGTGTAACTCACACAAAAATTGCAAAATTTCTGGGAGAGCTTTCAAAGTCAGGGGATATGGGAGAAATTTTAGTCTTGCAAACAGAAAGGTGGATTCCATTCATATTTGGTAGAAAGAAATGGAATAGGGTAGAATAGAATTGTAGAATGGGTTGGAAGGGACCTTCAAGCCCATCTCAACCAACCCATGGCAGGGACACCTTTCCCTATCCCAGGTTGCTCCAAGCCACATCCAACCTGGCCTTGGACACTTCCAGGGCTGGGGCAGCCACAGCTTCTCTGGGCAACCTGTGCCAGGGCCTCCCCACCGTCACAGGGGGAATTTCTTCCCAATATCCAATCTGACCCTCTTCTCAGTTTGAAGCCATTCCCTCATGTCACTCCAGGCTGTTGTAAATAGTTTCTCTCCATCTTTCTTGTGGGCTCCCTTCAGAACAGAATTAGAATAGAGTAGAATAGAATAGAGTAGGGTAGAGTGGAGTAGAGTGGAATAGAATAGAATAGGCACCCATTTGTCTTATCCTGAAGCACGTCTGTGTTTGGTTGATGAAATACTCATTAAAAGTGTCTCTCTCCCCCCCCTCCAATTACCAGGCAGTCCAGGATGACCAGGATGGTCTAGATGTCACCTGCTAGCAATTTATACATCCTTTTGAGAGGGCAGCTGTGGGGTAGAAACCACATCTGTGAGTTATCAGCAGGGATGATGCTGAACTTCAGTCCTTGGTATTGGTTGCCTCACGTCCAGCTACATCTCTTTAAATACGAACCTCTTTTGATGCAACATGTGTGAGAATTTAATTTCTTGGGGGAATCTGTGCTGTTAAATATGAATTAATTCTCTTTTACAGGTGAACAGGGTGTATGTCATTTTTGATGTACCTACTACCGTGTCAATGATCAAGTTATGGAATTATGCGAAAACCCCTCAGAGAGGTGTGAAAGAGTTTGGGGTAAGTAAATTTTCTGTGTATTTTGTATGTTCTGGTGAATCAGCTGCTTGATTTCTGTATGGATTTTCACAGTTTACTGAAGTGTGATTCCATATAATCTCAAAGGATGGGATTCATCTCATTTAACTCTGCATTTAGTGTTAAAATGACTAATCTATGCCAGTCATCTGTCCTCCTTTTTTTTTTGTCCAGGGAAAGAACACTTTATCTGATTTTTTTCTTAGATAATTGTCTTAAGATAGGATAATGCTTTTCTTTTTCCACTGACTGTAGAACAGCCCTGGAAGACTAGTTTAAACTACAAACCCAAGTTTTAGACAGCTGAAGTGAGGTGAGATTCATTAATTCCTAGATTTAAGTGTGATTCACTCCAGTGAATAGAATGGCAATTATGTAAAACATGAAATACATTTTTAATTACCTTCTTGAAAGCTGCATTAAAAAACATCAGTGAGAGCATAAAAACTTGGAGGGAGGGGGAACCCCCAAGCCCCAGCAGCGAATAGAAATGGAAGTTTTTAAGGAGCAAAAGCTAAATTAACGAGCAGATTTGTGTAACAAATAGGGCAAAATGATTTCTAGTTAATTGCTAGAGACAATAGCTGAAAGCAATGGTTGGTTTCTAGGTGGGTTTTTTGTTTGTTTTGTTAAATATCTGTAGCTTCTGGTGGATGACTTGCTGGTGTACAATGGGATTCTGGAGATGGTGAGCCATGTGGTGTCAGGAATCCTCCCAACCTGCGACCCAGTGGTCCCATATCACACCATCCTCTTCACAGATGATGAGAAGATTTGCCATCAGGAGAAGAGAACTGTTATTAGGTATGTGAGTGGATCTTGAATCTCGTTTTTAAACAATGTGTGCATGTGACTGATGTCAGCAATATGTGCATTGCTATAGAAAATTCCCTTCCAAAGTGCCTCACTTAATGAGAAATAAATAGGTTTTTAGATACAAAGACCAAATTACCAGCTTTATGGGCACTTACTGGGATTCATGATTTATATTTACATGTGTTTTCATGAAAGCCTATAAACACAGAAGAAAAAAGTTAAGCTTCCTCAGAGAAGGGATAATAAATCCCAATGATATTACATAGAGGGGAGAAAAAATAGAAAGTTAATGAAAAAGAACCAAGCATCAAAATTACAGAAAACAAAGTCCTCTGATTTGACACAGATGCTAATTAAGGAACCAGAATTCTACTATTTTATAAACATTCTAAAATAATGAACTTCCTAAAATGAGAAATGACTTGCATTTGGAGGAATGACACTTTGAAACCACTAAGTTGGCAATCTCACAGAGAATGTGATGAAATGCGGTGAAAAATGCACTTACATTTAGAAGGTTAGAACTGACAGGGTCTAAAAAACAGTCCCTGGCAAAGGAAAATAAAGATTGAAAGAATAATTTATTTTAAATGGGATTGAAAAGTGAAGAAATGAAAGCTTATAGAAATGAACATTTTCTTACATGTTGGACAGCTAACAAATAGAATGTCTTGCACATTCACCATTGGGAAAAAAAAGGCCAGTTTTGCATGGAAAAATGGCATGTGATCCATGCAGAAGGATATTCAAATATTTAGAAATTAGCAGGAGGAACATAAGCTGTCCTGATTAGGAACAGAAGTTCACATTTGCCTGCAGGGTTTGTTTTCCTGGGTTTCTCTAAAGCATTGGCTGTTGGCCACTGGAACTGTCAGATGTTAAATAAATTACTGTTGTTTGGTTGTGTTGTGTGAGACATGTTTTTGTACAAGTGGCTGTGTTGTCGTGGTGAGATTTGGAGGTGAGCAATTTTTCAAGTGAAAACGTTACTGAAATGAGAAGGTCTGGAGGAAATAAAAGTTCTGAGAGATTTTTCAGTGGGATATAAAAAGGAGTAGGAGGGGAAATGAACCTTTACTTTCCTCAGCTTCAGGTCTTTCTGTGAGTAAAGTTATTTTCTTGGAAACAGAGAAGCAGCAGATCTTTTTCACATAACTTCCTTTGCACGTGTTATAAGACTTATATCCTTTGATTTGCTTTGAAGAGGAGTATCTTTTTGGGGTCACAAAACTGCATGGTCTGTTCTCCAGTTGAGAACATGCTGAGTCTGTTCTCTTCTAGGCTTCTGGGCAGGAGCTTTCTTGGTCTTTTTTCTTTGCCTGGTTTGCAATCTTCTTTCCCCTTTTTTTCACCTCCCACCCTACTAAAATATAGGGTACTTCAGCAGCAATAGAAGACATGCTGGATAATATCCCTTCATTTTAAAAATAGTCTTGGGCTTTTATATGTTGTTACTTCTGACTGTGGCCTGTTCTCTTTTACATGTCACTGTTCAGTATTTTATGAACCCTGAACTTGAGTCTGATATTATCATCAATAGTGTAAGTTCTGATTTCCTTCAGTGTTGGCTCCCCTGCTTCACCCTGACAGTTTGGGAGACATTACATTTTTCTCCAAAAATAGAAACCCATTTTGTGCAGTGTTCGTAGAGAAAAGAAAAATACACCTCTTTTGTTCCAAAGGCACAAATGTTTTGTTTTGTCTGTGAAAGGGAGATGTTATTAGTGATGTTTTCTTCACCTTTCCATTCAGCTCACATTTTCCCCTGTAAATTGTTTAGTTTAATTTCTCTTTGAAGTTATTACTTCTTTCCCCAAAAGAAATGGTTAAAATTTTGCAGCAAAGCAAAGCTCGTCACAGTAAATGAATTTTGTTTAGTTCAGAAAACTTTCAAATAATGCTATTCCAGTATTACAAAGCAGTGTGAAGTTCCATATAGGGATTTTTATACCCTGTATGTACAGCTCTGATTTAAAATCTCACTTTGGTTAATGTGGTTCAAGCTGTGTAGGCAAAGCTTGAAAATTGTAGAGTGAATATGATATTTATATTTGAATGTGTGCCTGAATGAATGTGTACTAATTAAAACTGGCAAGGAATCCTTCAGGTGGGTGCAGACAGAAAGTTGTGATTTTTGGTAACTTTTTCCATAAAAAACTCTCCTAACTTTTCACAATGTTGATTATTTTGGCTGTTGTACTGATTTGCATCTTTTCAGCAATCATGTGGGAGACCAGGATGTCCGAATGATGAACGAAAATGAGATTGTCACAAACAGCAAAAAGAAGCAAGTTGTGGCTGATCCAGGTAAATTCTGTCTTCCACAGTTTTCTTCTGATCACTTCCTACAGACACAGTGTGAATAATGAACATTTTTAGAGACCTAAACAGGGAAAACTGGGGAGTCTTACACCTCTTACATGTATTTAGCTCTACTTTTTCTACCACAGAAAGACAAACTACGAATTTCATAATCTGGTGGATTTTTATTCTATATCTAAATCTGAAAGGGGATGATACAGATCAAAGACATATTTAGCTTATACCAACCCAAATGGGAAAGTCCTTAGGAAAGAAACTGACTGAAGATAAATTGAAAATTCATATTAATAGTGCAGGTTCATAGATAGCTTTTGGAATAATAGGCTCATTGGATCCCCACTGGTGTTGTAAGCAGCTTTAGAGATGATGCAGATGTGTCTGAGTATCAGCTGCTTGTTGCTCCTTGAGCAAATCCAAAATCATGATAAGTGTAACAAGGGGGAAAACATGTTGACTTTATTCCTCCCACTGTCTTTCTGGTTGGTCTTTTCTCTTTGAAAGTGATAATTAAAAAGACAACCCCTGTTTTTTTTCCCAAGGAGAAAGAGTAGATTTTATTTATAGTCTGAAGAGTCCCAGTCATTCATTGTAAATTACTCAGAATAGCTCCCTAAATACATTACAAATTCTCACCCAAGCTGGTATATTCATGATTGGTTTTCTCTCCTGAGCATGACACTTTCTCCAATTAGTTCTCCAGAAAGTGTTGCAGAAATTATTTGATGGCTTTTAATAACAGTTCTGTAGCAGAAGGATTTGAAAGGCCATTGCCTGTACAAAAACAGCTTGAAAGTTATTAGTATATTAGCACAGGCTGTGCCAAAAGTCTCCTGGACACCTCTGTGCCTGTTGGAATGACATCCTGGGTTGCAGAGCAGACACGGCCAGGAGAGCAGCTCTCACTGTCATGGCCATCACATCTATTGTCCAGTGTGCTGGAATCAGCCACAGGGGTTGTTGATAACAGATTTGTGCAATGATTTGTGTTGGAGGAGACCTCAGAGGGTCCCCTCCTGAGGGAAGGTCCAGACTTCTACTCAGGTCAGTGTCAACATTAAATTCAGACCAGATTCCATGGGAAAGCAAATCCGTGGGACTGTCAAAAAGTGGCAACACTCACTGTCAGTGTAAGAAACATCACTGAGAAGAACAGCTCAGCTTTCCTTCTAGGATGGAAAGAGAAATGGGCATTTTTCTTCCTCACCTTACTCTGTGGCTTCACTGTTAGTGTGCAGTCCTAAACCAGCTCCATTTTCCCTCACAGCCTTGCGTCCAAAAACCTGCATGTGTGAGAAAGGGCTGCAGAGGAGGAAAAGATAACAAGGGAAGTCCTGGATGCATCCAACCCTAAATAACTGCAATCCAGATCTCCAAGATGTGCATCATCCAAATGGAAGATTTTCTATGTCTGCTGTTGCTGAACCACCTCCTGTCTTATGAGGGGCAGTTTTATTTGCCACGGGAAATTTTCTGCAGAATGAAATCTAAAGCATGAATTTATTTTCCTGGGGGTTCTTTTTCATGATCTGTCTGATTTTTTTCCCCTCATCTCTTAATTGAAAATCCAGGGAGGAAGGAACATAAAGGAGAGAGTGAGAACTTTACTGCTGACAACTGTTCCTGCCAAGTACTGAGAACTTGGGTGAAGCAGGATGGTTTTATAACCACAGGTTTTTCAGATTGTTTCTCAAGCTTTTTTTCCTAAATCCTAGCTGGATGATCACGAAGATCCTCACTAGAAGGAAATGTTGCTTTATTTCTGATGCCTGTAAACAGTTCTCTGGGAAATGCACTTATTAGAGGAAATTACCTGTCTGTCTCTGGGCTGCCACTGCATGTTTTGATGCCGTGGCTCTCAGCAGGAGCTGACACTGTTTCTGACACCTGGAGATGTTCCCCTGGGCTTGCAGAAGTGTGATGGATGCTTTTAGGAAATGGAGATCAGGAATAAGGTTTATCAAGGTTTAGCAAGTGCATTTCAGCTGTCATTTCTTTCATGTTTTGCAGTGAAATAATAATTTCTTTCATTATTTCACTACCATGAAAAAAGCAAATGAGGTGTTTTACCTGGAGTGCCATTGACAGGCACTCTACACATTCTTCAGAGTCCTCCTGCTGCAGAGCAATGTTCTTTTCTCCTATTTTGCCTGCTCTTGTTTATATGAACAAGGAGGCCATGCTTCTGTGCTGCACTATCCACATCTGTTGCCAGCAACATATTGTCACTTCTGAGAAATGGTAAATGCATTTTAAGTAGCAGAAGGTAAGGAGCAGAGTGCATTTTTACACAAAAAATACCCTGCTATGTAGTCGTTGGAACAAAAGCTCTAACCAGATAAATATGCTGCAGGATTTGCTATGCAAATGTACTTTTCACTGAAAATTTGGTATGTGTGACAACCTGAATAAGTTTCCTCCATTGTAGATTCTTCCTTTCTCATTTAGAACTCGCTCATTCCAACCCAAGCCAGCTGATGATTCCATGATTGTTTCCAGAGAGAACTGAACACTGAAGTCAGGATGTGCTTTTAGACATAAAACAAAGTTACTGTTGCAGCTGTTGCTGTAGAATCAAACTGTTCTGGTTCCCTTTCTGTCCTAAGTCAGGAGTGTAATATTTTGTATATTTGCTTATTAAAACTTCACTGCTGTTGGCTAAGCTGAAAAGACACAAGATAGCAATGCATTTCCCAAATTTCTATGTACTGATGGACCAACAAAATGTATTTTGTACTAAATACAAACCACTTTATTTCTAAATGTAAAATAGTGTGTGAGAGTACACTGCACTTTTTTCAAGGGCTCTTCCCAGTCTGCACTGACAAAAGAACCTTTTTCTGAGAACTCTCCCCATAAAGTGTTTCATGGTGTAGCTCTACCAAGAACCAAGTTCTAATTTTTGCTCCAAATCACAGAACAGGCAACTCCAAAATGAAAAACAGGAGGAGCTGAAAGGAGGGATATTGTGAGGGCTCAGAACAGATGTAAATGTCTGTATTTGGAAGAGGAGAGGCTATAGCAAGGTTTTGAAGACTTGAGGCACAACCACAGATTTGTCATGCAGGCAATCTCTGAATGGGATGTCACACTGTTTGTTCTTCTAAGCAAATTGCATTGAATGGGCAGAGAAATGAAATCTGCTGTGTTTCCTGGCACAGAACAGCATCCTTATTATTGATCTGAAAAGGTATGAGGGGGTGAGGACTTCCTATGCTCATCTGTCTTCTCTGTATCTGTCTGGAGCCTCTCCAGTCCTGTATGATGGACTAATGATTTTTCAGTCCTAATCCTTTGAGGTAACTCCAGGTTTTGTCAATTATTTCAAAATGCTTGGTCAAGCTCAGATGGGTCACAGCTCTCTCTGGCTGTTGTTTCCCTGTCACCAGCTCTTCCTCAGCAGCCAGTTGATAACTGCAGCCAGCTTTCACACCTTTTGCCCCTGGAAATGTGTGTCCAGAGCAGCTGCTCTGGCATGAAGTTTAACGGCTTCAACCTTCTGCCATCCTCTCCTAACGGCCCTTGTACCCACTGAAGAGATTCCCCACAATTGCCACACTGTGGAAAGAGCGTGAAAGTCTTTAAAGTACTTCAAAACAGTTGTTAAGTTGTGGAACATCCTCCCCTGCAGTGTCTGTGTCTGCGCTGGGATGACACTCACCACCCAGGCACGGCCTGGTGGAGGCCTTGATTCCAGCCAAACATTTATGGAAAGTAGCATAATGATTAGAAAATGCTTCACTCATCCCTGTGGGGTAGGAGATGTCAGCATTTGCCCTCCTAATTGGACCTGAGATGTAATGACCCTTTATATAACCAAAAATAATTAAGTGCCCTAGTCAACTCTATACACTCAAACAGAGGCACTTGACTCATTTCCTCAGTGAATCAGGGTTAAAGCAAAGGGTTTATTCCATTTTTCACCTTTTTTTAACTAGCTGCTCACAAGTACATTCATGCCAGACTGGCATTTACAGGGGGGACAAGAGGAAGAGTAAACATGCAGTGAAGGAGATCCCCACAGAGCACTTCAGTCAATGCCAGGCACAGTTTCAGCAGGAGTAATTCAGTGAGAATGTGCCCAGTGACATCATTTGACATTGTCAGAAGCATGGCAAATGAAAAGGAAGGAATGAATTCTTGCTGAAGGCCTTGATGTAAATTATTAAACTTTCACTCAGTTCCAATTTCTGGGCCACTCAAAAACGTTTATACTGTAGTTGCTCACCTTTACCTGTTGTGATTTGGTTTAAAGGGCATGGATCGAGATAACAGAAATGAGTTTGTTTGTCCTGCAGTGACACTGAGAAGGGCAGGGGATAAAGAAATAATCTGTGAGGAAGTACATGTCAGGCTGCCTATTTTTTGATCTAGAAAAAGATATTTTTATCAGTCTTCACAGTGTAATCTGAAAGCTGGGATGCCTGGGAAGGCCTGCAACTTTTCAATTTCTACCTTTTTGTGCTTTAATCCAGTAGCATTTAAACAGCAGGGAGAAGCACCTGTCAGTGCACAAGGGAGCAAGCAGTGGTGCAGTGTAAAAGGCAGCATAGAAGACATGGAAGGTTGTGTATTCCTGAGTCAGGAGACTCATCCATGAACCCATAAGAGCCACATGAGGAGCTACATGGAACAGCTAAATTAAACTGAGCCCTTCTCATGGCTGAGACAGGACTGGGACATAAACTGCACTACAGAATCCCGCTGAAGTGATGCTGTTTTCTATAAGATGTCCTGGTCCTGCTGGACTTTCACCATGTTCCTGGTGTGTAGGTCATTCTCTGTCGTGATGTCCAGTCCTACCATTCCAGGGATGAATGCCAGGCTGGGAAAACCTGCAGGAGCCTGGCAGTGCCCAGGAGTGCCTGGGTGTTATGAGATTGGACAGAGATCTTGTACCCCAGGTAACAAACACACTGGAATGGGCAGAGATAGGACTTGCTGCCAGTGAGGGTGTGAGGGGGAGGGCAGTGTCGGAGGGAGGTGGAATGTTGAGTCTTTAAACTTCCTTGAGTTTCCAGAAAAACCTCACTTCCTAGCATAAGTCAGGTAAGAGCAGACATGAAGGGCTGTATTGACATCTGAGTTCTGCCACCTGCAGGGGACAAAGTCTACTTTGCCTTTGATCTGCAAGACAGAAGCTTTTCCCATTCCCTCCTGCTCTCTGCTCCCGCTGTCCTCACTGCTGGATCACCCCTGCTCCAGCCTGGGGGATGCAGTGAGTGATTAGAGTCCAAACCAGCACATGGTTGAGGGGTGCCTTAGGCTGCCCTCCGTGTTCTGGGGCTGCTGATCTGGGAGGCTGAGCTCTAACAGGAGCTGCTCTTATGGCAAACATCACTGAAGGAGCCAAATCTCTTCCAGTATTCCTCAGGAAATGTAAAGTCCATCAAATACCACCTGGCACTGGCTTCACCAGTACTGCAGGCACTCTGCAGCACCTGGGGCACCTTCCTGTATTCCCTTTTAGCTTCTTCCCCATCATGTCTGTCTTTCAGCTGCATCATTATGCTTAGAAGGTCTCCCTTTGCCCTGAAGGTCCTGTTCAGAATCACTGTTCTTTGCCTTGTGGGTGTGACCAACCTGTTACACTCTTCAGATGGATGTGCTCAGATGTGTGACAAGATTACTTTAATTTCACCTCATTTCCCATATACAGGGCACATTCTCTCTGATCTGGGGTGTTACCACCCCCTGTGGTCACAGCTCCTGTTTGTGTGGGGCTCCCATGTCCAGGGATGCCAGTGTTGTGGGTCTGCCTGCTGGATTATTGTCCAAAAATGCTGCTGAGACAACTGTTCATGGTGGAGGTGTCTCCTCCAAAGAGCAGAGAGGGAGACAGAGAGGACCATAACACACTGGGAGGGTGTTTGCCTCCATCTGCCTGCTGAGGTCCTGCTGCTCAGAGCACAAGAAGTGGCTTCCTGGCTCGGTGGCCTCTTTGCCCATTTCTGTGACTATTTGCTTGTTTGCTGAGAAATGACTTACAGCCCATGTGAGACACAAACATCCCTTTATCACACAGCTTGTATCACCCTAATGGAATTCTGTCAGCTGAGGATAAAATGTGGACTAAGAAAGCAATTATAGAGTGAATCTCCGAGCTGCAGGAAGAGCTGAGAGATGGGGACGGAGTGCCCAGCTGGAGTAATTTCTTGTCCGACTGGCCTCTAAATCTTGCTGGGAAGGGATCAATTTTCCACCCTTGTCTAACAGCATCAGCTCCCATCACCCTGGCTCAGGACCCTGTGAAGTGCTGCAGTGTTGAGATCTGGACATAAAAGGAAACATTTGCAATTGGTGGCTTCTTTCTTACTGACCCAGGAATTATTGGAAAAGGAGAAAATCAGGCTATAGACTTTCTGTCTGAGGGCTCTCTGGTGTTCCCTTTCTGAGCTCCTGGTGAAGGAGAGGACTGACCATCCCAATGATCAGCAGGGTAGGAGTTTCCCAGCCTGAAATGTTGCTTCCATGGTCCTTCACCCATGGCTCACTGCTTTGGCTCTAATTAGGAGAAGAAAACCTGCACCTCATGAGCAGCCTTCCCAGGTACACTGGTTATTTCTGGGAGGTCTCAATTATGCAGTGAGACCCCTGTGAAATCCTGCCTTTAGCTTTCAACTCACCCGAGGTCTCTGCTGTGACCAAAATCAACTTGACTCACAAACCCTGAGTGTTGGTCTCTGTCCTATTGCTCGTGGGACTTCCAAAAATGTCAGCAGGCACAGATTTTGTGCAGTCTGGGGTGAGAGGATGGGCATTTTGGGGAACCATAAATCTAAGGAAATAGGTCAGACAGATGCAATTAACTCACACTCAACTCTTCCCTCTTACCGATTCGTGAGCTGTTGTTTTAAGACCTTGATTGCTTGTTATCCTCAGCTTATCTGGATCTAGCTGGAAAAGGACCTACACAGTGGTTTTTCAAAGAACATCCTGCTGGGCTAAGTGTGTGGAGATGAATGTCAAAGAATGCTAAAGAAACTTAGAAACAGCCAAGTCTCCTTCCCAGCCAAGGAACAGTTAGTTGTTACCTGGCAGTCTGCTGGCCCTGGGGGAGGCAGGAGGTGGGAGCAGAGCTGAGGGGAAGTGTTGGATCTGGACACTGCACCTCAGAGCCATCCTAAGGGCCAGGAGCAGTCTGGTCCTTGGCTGCTGCCCCCTGAGAGCGTGAGCCCAGCTGAGTATTATGGACTGGTGTCCAAAGTGTATCGCAGTCAGTGCAGCTGCAGCTGAAACCTATGTTGGGCAAAGGCTTGGAAGGGAAGCATGTGTGGTAGGGATAAGGGTGAGGGAATGCAGGGGAAACTGCTATGGCTGGGAAGGTTTCTCAGGGAAATTACTCTTCCCCCAGCACGAGCATTGTACTCGGGGAAGAGAGGGTTCCTGTGGCAAACACGATGAACTGGGAGCAGCTGAGCCCTTCCATCTCTTTCACTGAGAATCCTCTCCTGCCTGATGGCAGCATGAGGTGGCTGCCAGAATAGAGGTTTCTGTGTGTAACAAGCTGGGGAAAGAACTTTCATCTCGAGCAAGAGAGAGCTTTTATCTCTCATCAGAGGGGTCTGGGGGCACAGCAGCTCTCTGAGTGTGCAGGGCTGGCAGGAGGAGGCTCTGGCCAGCACAGGGAGGGGAGCTGGGACAAGACAGCACCCCCTGCTCTCCAGTGGGCTCAGGAAGTGTAACACACTGATGGTGCTGTTCCTGCCTTTTATTATTCCTGCATCCGTGCTCCTATTCAGCAAAGGTTTTCCTGACTGTTTTCTGCAATTATACAGTTTTTGGGGTTTTTTTGACCTTACTGAAGTCAGATCAGGTTACACAGGGTTTCAATCAGTTTGGAGAACCTCTAGGAATGGAGGCTGCACAACCTCTCTGGGCAATCTGTTTTAATGCTTAACTCTCCTAATAGGGAAAAAGTTTTTCCTTTGACATATAATAACCTGTACTTTTCCCCACTGATTAAAGGCCCAGATCAGCGTGGATAAGACTTTTGGCATTGCAGAAAGGTCATCTCTGCTGTTGTCATCGAGCTGTGTAATAATAAATTCCATCTCCCAACTATAATTTCAGATTTGCAGATTAGCAGAAGTCTCATGATCTGCCTCTTTCCTGGTATGCTGGAGACACTGCTAAAAATAGAGTAAGTAGCAAAGCTACCTGAAATGGTCTGAGCCTAAACAGTGGTAAAAACTAATCTACAGTGAATGTCGGCTCTGGCTTGTTTCCAAGGGAATGTTTTGGGATGGCTTGCTATATACTGGAGATTGTTTGGTAAGGATTAGTTGGTGAACAGATGAATCAAAGTGACATTTCCATTACCAACAGGAGATCTGTCTGTGGCCAGAATTCATGGGGAAGGATGTGGGATGATAGTATGACTTTTCATTATGTTTAATATTGTCAGAGAAATTAAATAACCACTATTATTCATCTCTCAGGGATAGTAACGTGTCTGAATATTAACACAAAATGGGAGATCTGATCAAAACCCACTGACCCAGCAAGACATTGATGTGTATTTTAATCACTCTCTTTGGACCACTCAGATAATTTACTCTTCATAATAAATCTGCAAGAAGCTAAGATCTGCATTTCTCAGGACAGGGCTCAGGTAGAGCAGTGCATGTTCTGTCCTTGTGTATTCTGGCTGAGGCCCTTTGGGATGCCCCAGTGTCACTCTTTTTGCTGAGGAAGCAGCATTAAGGCCCTCAGGAGACCTGCACCTCGGTCACCTGGTTGTGGGTTGAGAATAGGGGTCAGGGGATGACTTATTGGGCACTTGTTTGCCTGTCAGACCCCTCAGAGGAGGGAGAGGTCCACGGGGGAGGGCTCCAGCTCACAGTGGAAAATAACCACTTACAGAAATGTATGGATACAAGAAATGGAAAAGGGTCTCCAGAGGCAGTTTTACCTTGGAAAACAAAGGTTATAGATTTAATGTGAAAATTCCTAAAGTCAAGTTGAAATGGAGTGTGCAAGAGGCACCGGGTATATAAATGTGTAGAGAACACACCTTGAGGAGCAGGCATTCAGGTAGGAGAAGGGATTAATGGTAATTAATGGCACTGCCCAAACCCTTGTGACTCCCATATCAGGACAGATAATGCCAATAAATTATATAAAGATGCAGACAGTTGCCTAAAACTCATTCTGCTGTATTTTAAGTCATGAAGTAGAAGTCCTGGTAGACTTGTTTTGCATAAAACACTCACATTATGCAGGGATATTATTATTAACAGTACGAAGGGGTAACCATGAGGTCATAAAATGTATGGATCAGCGAGTGACTTTGACTGCAGTTATGAATTAGAGATATTAATGAGAAGGCTGACAAATGAATCGGCCATGCATGTAGATCCAAGCACAGTGAAGGGCCCTCCCAACTAGTGCCACAGAAAGTTTGCCATTTATCTTCTTTATCCACTGATGCAGATGTAAATTAACTTCTTCTCTTCTTTTTCTTTTTTTTTTCTTTCTTTAGTTGTTAGATGTTTGTTGTATTGCAATCTTTTAGTTTTTGCAACACAGAGCTAAATATTCAGGTTTTTTTACTAGAATGGTGGGGTTGGACAAGCTGACCTTTCCAGCTGAAATTACCATGTGATTCCATGGCCAGGATGCATCAGGACTCTCTGTTTAACGTAACTTATCTGCTGTAGAGACTGTTCTGCCAACTGGAGCCTATCGAGCCACAGCATGGGGCATATTAATAGGTTGCTTATTTAATGCAATCAATCAGTACAATCTACAGATTGCCTGAGGCTGGAAAAGTGTTCATGTCCTCACACTTCTGACCAGGTATCTGCTCTGAGAGATGACAAGGGGAAGGCAGCCTGTGGTGCTCAGGATCCGTGCAGGGATGAACAGCTAACAGACAGCTTGTTACTTTGAATAAGTGTGATACTAATGACTCTCTGGAGCTGGGTATGAATGTAATGCCCGTAGTTAAGAAAGGAAGGGAGGAATCATTTGGTCCAGTATTGGGTCTTCAGACTGGAGAGTACGTGTTCGAGGGAAAAAATAGACTTATATACTTTAACAAAGAATAGGTGGAATGCTACATGAGTTTAAAGACTAATTTTTCACTGTGTGTCTGATTGCCTACTCCTCCTGTCTGTGTGCAAGTGGAGGTGATAACATTTTGGAGAGAAAGCTTATTTATGCTAAGGAGCCATGGAGGCACAGTGCAAATCAGTGAGAATTGTCCAAGAGGAACAATGGCTGAATCCCTTTAACTGTCACAATAATGGGGCTGTGTAATTGCCTTTCTCCCTGAACACCAGGCAGCAAGACCCAGAGCCTTGAGACAGAGCAAGCTTGTTACAGGACACGTTCTGGCAAGTACAGGATGCTAAAAATGAACTCAAAAAACTTGCTTTCAGGCCCATGTATTTAAGACACTGCTGTCTTACTTTGGCTGTGCTGACTCAGTTTTGTACCCTGCGAGGAGAAGGGCTCTTCCTGCGGGTGTGGGCGGCCAGCCCTCGCCCTCCTGTTGTGTGAGGAGTGGGTGACTACAGAAAAAAATAGACTGGACACAGAAAATCTCTTGGGAGTTGTGGGCAGGCAGCTCTGTTTCTCTCCCCAGCAAACCTAGGGAAGCAAAACCAGGAAGGAAAGCTGAGGCTTGTAAAGGATGAGAGGATTTGGTGATGTGCAGGAACACCAACAAAGAGAAGCACTTGGGAAAATCAGGAGAAAATCAGTGGATTTTTCTACCTGTGTAAAAATCAGGGAAGGTGCCTCAAGTTTTGGAAATGGTCACAAAGGTGCAGATAATGCAGGAACTGAGACATCTTCACAGAGGCAGAGCTGCCTCCAAGGTACAAATGCAGCAGAGGAAAAGGGGGAAGTGAGGAGTCTGTAAAGGACAGATGGAGGGGGTTTGTCCTGCTGCTCTTTTCCCAGTTTCCTCACAGCTGAGCACATGGGCTGCCATGGCTGGCAAGGCACTGGGGACACACTGGAGGGCTCAGAAGGTGCAGATGCCTACTTATAATATATAGAAGGCCTGGCAAGACTGACCGACTCTGGTTGGATGCAAATAACCAGGAAGTTCCACTGGAATAGCTAAAAGCTGGGACTATCAGGATAACATGCACATCTGTACAGTGGGTAGAGGAGATTCATATCACAGCTGACCCAGAAGAAGGAGACTCTGCAACCTGAAAGGGACCCAGAACTGACAGTCTTTGACAGAGCCAGCCTTGATGACGTAAGGCTAATGAAAATAATTCATAGACTTGTGCTGGATCTGAGGCGTGAGGAGAACAAGGCTAAAAGTGATAATCTGATCACATTGTCAGGCCTCATGAACAGGAGAAGCCACAGAGCCTGTTCTCACAAATGTGTTCAGATTTTGCAGGCAGAGAGGGCAGGCAATGCAACATATGAAGATTGATATTGCTAATCCCTAAATTGTGTTTTTGTTGGTTCTGTGGAAGTTATGGAAAGCTCTGGAGAGAGACCTCTGAGAGAGCTGGGGGTCTGATCTGCCACGGGAAAATTAGTGTGGAGCAGTAACTGTGTGAGCTCTGTGGGAGGAGGGTCAGCCATCCATGTGAGCCAAGGGGATGTGTTCTCCTATGAGAGCCACGAAGGCGGAACAGGATGCAGGGGGTGCTCCTGTGAGACTCAAACATCCCCTCCACGGTGCCCAGAGCCTTCGGGGTGATTTGTGGTGCTCCACCACAGTGCTCCCCAGGGTGGGTGATTTGCTCTGAGGGGATACTGCGTGTCCAACAACTCTGACCATCCTGCACTCACCTCTGTGCCCCCCGGTGAAGGTGGGAGGGAGGGCAGCCTTCTCCCTGTCCCTCACCTCGGTGCTGTGACCCCCCGAGGGCACACACTGTGCACAGCCCTGGGTATCCCTGTGGGCACCTCGGAATTTGCCTGGTGTGGCCGCAGGTGGTGGCTGCAGTGTGGCACAGAGGGGGTGCGTGGGCAGGGCTGTGGCTGTGTCTGCACAGCAGCTTGTAAGTAAAATAAATTGCTAATAACAGGGAGCTTAAAACAACACATTTGTAAGCTCAGCAGAGACCATCGTGCTGAAAGGCGGGTAGGGGCTCTCCTACAGCAGTCAGTGTCCCTGTGGAGATGTGCCCAGCAGGTTCAGAGCGTGTCCTTGGACTGTGCTGCCCCCTCCCATTGCCCAAGGTGTCTGGAGCTGTGGTGGCACAGGGAATGATCTGCTTTTGGGTTTTTGTTGTAATTGGTTTTTTTATTCCTCCTCCCTGTTATTTTTGAAATAAGCTTAAGAAGTGGATTATAGCAGAGGGAAAGGGGGGCTGAACTCACAGGTTACCTTTTGCCATCCCTGTGGCCTGGCAGGGAGCAGCAGCCGTGTGCAGGACAGACGTGTCCTGAGTTTTGATGGCTTTGTCACACTGATACTGGGGAAGTGACTGTTTCCAAACAGTGGTGAGGAGTCTGGATGGGAGTGGGTGACCCAGTGGGGCAGGGGAGCAGTGGCTGCCATTGGTACTGAGCAAAGTGGCTCAAGGACATCCCTCCACCCTCACCAGGTCTTTACAGAATGGCCATCCCTGTGAGCAGAACTTGGGGCACAAACTGTTGTTCATCCATTGTGCTTTCATGGTTCCCAGATGAGGAGGAAGGAGCTCCAGGGCCGTTTTCCTGTGTGTCCTCCATGACCAGCAGCCCCCTTCCCTTGGGGCAGGCTCCACAGCAGAGATCACCTTGTGATACCCCGTCAAGGGGCCGCAGCCTTTCGGCATCGACGTTGTGGGAAGGCAAAGCACGGCTGTGAACACCTCTGAGCTGGTCTGCCAGCCCAGTCACCACAGACTGGGAGAGCTGGAGGTCACAGACCTTTACCTGTCTCACTGCTGGGTTGGTGTTTTAGGGGCACATCACACAGTCTTGTCCCCTGGCCCCGTTACCTGAAAGGGGACCTGCTTGGGGTCACCCCAGCTCCTCACTGCCTTGCCCTGGGTTAACCCAGGATGCAGGTGGGCAGAGGAGGGTGGTTTGCAATGCCCAGATCTCACTCCAGTTCTTGGAATCATTATATTATTATATATTATATCATATATTATTATATGTGTGAAATATTTCCAGATGCTGATTGTTTTGATATACAAAGCACCTTTAGATAAACAAATAAAAAAAAACAGG